GCACACACACACACACACACACACACACACACACACACACACACACACACACACACACACACACACACACACACACACACACACACACACACACAGGGCTTGGGTTTACAGACTACCTCTGTTGAGCCTCCAGAACAGAACCGGGTCGGTACCTGAAGTTCTGGTCCGCCTGCAGCAGGTGACACAGGGCGGCGTCATACAGCCTCCTCTTCATCAGAGAGCGTCCCTTCTCATGGAAACCCATGGCCAGGATCAGAGCCTGGAGACACACGGGACACCACGGTCAGATGGTCCCAGCTGGAGACACCTGGGACGGGTCAGGAAACCAGAGGAACCTGGACCAGACTCTGACCCAGCAGAACCAAATCCACAGCGGCCCAGTTTGGGCTGCTGGTTCTGGGTAAAGAAATCCACCTTTTTCTCCTCCTGAGGGATCTTCAGTGGGTTCCCCTTCTGATCTGCAATCTCCAGGAACGGCATGGTCTCTGGATCCTCGCTACCATCTGACAGAAAAACGCCTTCACTGGTACAGTGATCCAATCTTTCACAATAAAAGCCCTTCCTGTTCAGCAGAAAGCTGTGGTTCTGGACAAACCTCTCTCTGACAGGATCTGAAAGCCCTTTTGGGTCCTCTGAAGGCTCTCGCTCTGGTTCTTCTTCTCCTCTTCCTCCTTGTTCAGCTGCTCTGCATCATTCACTTTAAGAACCATCACCTTACTGTGGTTCTTCACACCCTGCTCATCTAGGCACTGATCTGTTAACACAAACACTTTCAGAACCAAACTGACTCAAACGGGTCGGGCCTGCGGCTGGTCTGGACTCACCGAGCCTCAGAGTCCTCCCATTCAGGATCAGTTTGATGTGTTTCAGTCCAAAGTCCTCCGAGATCCTGCAGCAGCGACACAAGTCTAACCATAGCTGAATGATGTCATACAAACATAGCCCGCCCTCCCTCAGGTGTTTACCGGTCTGCCACCTGCTGCAGCGGGACATCCAGCCTCGTTTCCAGGTAGGTCTTCTTCTTTGGATCCTAAAAACACCACAAGGTGTCAGTGGTGATCTGAACCATAAATGTCCTCCAAACCAAACCAAACCAGTTTATTTATAAAGCACATTTAAAAGCAGCTTGGCAGCTAACCAACGCATTTAGACCCAGAGTAAGAACAAGGTCTAGAGTGTGCCCTCTGCTGTGTGAGGGGCCAGAAACAAGCTGGGTAAAGCTGAAGGAGTCCAAAAGAGGTAGAGGGATCATCAACGTGGATGCTAAAGTCACCATCCATCACCAGTCTGGACAGCTTCACAGTGGAGGACAGAACGTCTCTAAACTCCTGAAGGAAAGAGCCGTTTGGACCCGGTGGACGATAGACCACAGCACAGTAGAACGTAGGAATGTGAGAAAATATCAACCAGGCATTATATCGTGATATGTTTTCCTGCACTATTATATCGATATTGAAAGCCGTGTATCAAATTTTGGAAGAATTTACATGCAAACATTAGTGTATTTTCTTTTTTTGGTGTAATTTAAACACCGGCCGCTGGATGGCAGCAGTGTGCTATGGGTTTTGTTTCCACCATTTAAATGTAAATCCCTCTGTTATGGTGCAGAAACCTCATGTTAAACATGTTACGTGTCACTTTGGACTGTTTACTGAACATTCAACAATAAACTCGGTCTAAAAAATGGCTACTATCGTCTGGCTGAATATATCACAATATATCGTGATACATCCTATCGTCTCACCTGTATTGTGATACGTACAGGTACTTCTAAAAAATTAGCATATTGTGATGAAGTTCATTATTGTCTGTAACGTACTGATAAACATTAGACTTTCATATATATTAGATTCATTACACACATTACTAATATTGATGATTTTGGCGTACAGCTCATGAAAACCCAAAATTGCTGTCCCAAAGTGAGCATATCATGAAAAGGTTCTCTAAACAAGCTATTAACCTGAATCAACTCATTAACTCTCAACACCTGCAAAAGATTCCTGAGGCTTTTAAAAACTCCCAGCCTGGTTCATTACTCAAAACCGCAATCATGGGTAAGACTGCCGACCTGACTGCTGTCCAGAAGGCCATCAATGACGCCCTCAAGCAAGAGGGTAATAGCCTAGTGAACTAGACCACATTCTTGCTTTGCAAAGTTTGGTCTAGGAACGCTCCACTGGAACCTCAGCAGCTCCTACCAGGACTCTGGCTAGCCAATCACAGCTCTCTAGAGGGATTTCAAACACATAAAGAGCTGTGATTGGTCCATAGTGGTGGGCCCATCATAGTGCTCTATCTGCTTAGTGAACAAATCACAGAGCTTTATCCACTTTGTGGGCCAATCAGGGCACTCTAAGTGCCTGGTGGGTGGGATGATGCAACAGAGTGAAACAAGAGGATGTCACATTCATTGTCCAGCGGCATGCGGAGATCATTTGAAAGACAACGGTAGAACCCGCCCCACAACCGAGAGCCGTCCATGGAGTGTGGCCAGACTAAATAATACATTTATTTAGTCTGGCTTGCCAGGCTAAGAGGGTAAGGCACAGAAAGAAGTTTCTGAAGGAATGGGCTGTTCCCAGAGTGCTGTATCCAGGCACCTCAGTGGGAAGTCTGTGGGAAGGAACAAGTGTGGCAGAAAACGCTGCACAACCAGAAGAGGTGACCGGACCCTGAGGAAGATTGTGGAGAAGGACCGATTCCAGACCTTGGGGGACCTGCGGAAGCAGTGGACTGAGTCTGGAGTAGAAACATCCAGAGCCACCGTGTACAGGCGTGTACAGGAAATGGGCTACAGGTGTCACATTCCCCAGGTCAAGCCACTTTTGAGCCAGAAACAGCGACAGAAGCGCCTGACCTGGGCTACAGAGAAGCAGCACTGGACTGCTGCTCAGTGGTCCAAAGTACTTTTTTCAGATGAAAGCAAGTTTTGCACATCGTTCAGAAATCAAGGTGCCAGAGTCTGGAGGAAGACTGGGCAGAGGGAAATGCCAACATGCCTGAAGTCCAGTGTCAAGTACCCACAGTCAGTGATGGTCTGGGGCGCCATGCCAGCTGCTGGTGTTGGTCCACTGTGTTTTATCAAGGGCAGGGTCACTGCAGCTAGCTATCAGGAGATGTTGGAGCACTTCATGCTTCCATCTGCTGAAAAGCTTTATGGAGATGAAGATTTCATTTTTCAGCACGACCTGGCACCTGCTCACAGTGCCAACACCACTGGTAAATGGTTTACTGACCATGGTATTACTGTGCTCAACTGGCCTGCCAACTCTCCTGACCTGAACCCCGTAGAGAACCTGTGGGATATTGTGAAGAGAACGTTGAGAGACGCCAGACCCAACACTCTGGATGAGCTTAAGGCCGCTATCGAAGCATCCTGGGCCTCCAGAACACCTCAGCAGTGCCACAGGCTGATCGCCTCCATGTCACGCCGCATTGAAGCAGTCATTTCTGCAAAAGGATCCCCGACCAAGTATTGAGTGCATAACTGAACATAATTATTTGAAGGTTGACGTTTTTTGTAATGAAAACACTTTTCTTTCATTGGTCGGATGAAATATGCTAATTATTTGAGATAAGAATTTTGGGTTTTCATGAGCTGTACGCCAAAATCATCAATATTAAAATCAATAAAAGGCTTGAACTACTTCAGTTGTGTGTAATGAATCTAATATGTATGAAAGTCTGATGTTTATCAGTACATTACAGACAATAATGAACTTCATCACAATAGGCTAACTTTTTTAGAAGGACCTGTATATCACCAGGATTTCACCAATACACATCCCTGGTCCTTACGCCCGACTTTAATCAGCTGCAGCTCAAAGGAAGCAAAGTGACCAGAGGTTGTAGAGCTACATGGAAGATGGTCTCTGAAAACAACAGCTAGGCCTCCACCACGACCAGAACCCCGGGGCTGGCTAAGAAAAGAATAACCACTCGGGCAGAGTTCAATCAGAGCAGAATAATCAGATGTTTGCTGCCAAACGTCAGTCAGAAACAGAAAATCCAGGTTTTTAGACAGAATTAGATCATCGAGCAGGAAGGACTTATTGCTAACAGAGCGGGTGTTTAATAGAGCCATGCTGAGTGAGGTGGAGGAATCAGAAACTACAGAACCAGCTGGAGTTAGTGGACGTACATTAGCAGGGTTAGATCCACGGTGTTTATAAAAACCACTTATGGAGGGAACAGGAGGAACCACTGAGGAATGAGGATCAACAAACCTGAGGAAACATGGATGAAGAGACAGCGACTGCATCGCGATCCAGCCGGAATAGAGAGGCAGAGCTAACGTCCTCAAACAAAGGAGACGTAGCTAGAAGATCGCGGCGATGCTTACTAGCTAAACCAGGCTTTAAGGGGATTCCTGATCGTTTCCTCCGAGTTTTCACCAGGACCAGAAAAACGTCACTAGAGCTGCTCAGCTTGGGTTCAACTCCCAGTGGGGTACAATGAGTCCCAGCGCGTCCTGACCAATCAGACAATCAGAAGAATAAGAGTCTGGCGATCGTACAAGATGGTAGCCGTACACTACTGAAGAAGACTGCAGACAAAAGCAAGGCAGAAAGGAGAACGTTAGCAGAGAAAAGCTTGAAAAGGTTGCTAGTAGCTGGTAAATCCAAGCACAGGCGCCATCTTGTTGCCAGCTGGAAGCAGAAGTGTCCCCACCAGGAACCTACAGCCCATTTAAAGGTGCAACAGGATTGTGTTTACACAGCCTTCTCAGGAACGCAGATATCTCCAAGCATGTGGGCGGAGCTAAAGAGGCACGGAGAAGGCTGTGGTGTCCTTCCTAAGCGCCACAAGTTAGTAAACAAAAGCAGGTGTGAGAGGGCGTGTTTGTTTTGGACACCCCAACATGCTGCTTCCTACTCTGTCACAGAGCAGCGCTGCTGCCGTGGACTCGTCTCACAGCAGTCGCTTTGCCTCGCCGCAGCCGGAGCGCCAGGGCGAAGCTGCAGTCAGACATGTTTACTCCACTACACCCAGACTGATGATGGGAATCTACCGCCGGCTGACTCTACCCGCACCAATCAGAGGCTCTCACTAGCAGGTAGGCATGAACTTCAGCCAGCCAATCAGTCCGTAGATGGTGTGATGGGTTGGCTCAAGCAGGGCCGAAAAAACGGTCAGCTCTTCACGAACAATGTAAACACAGCGACCCCAGCAGGGCAGACCGAGCTGACCCGAGCGGTCGGATGGGGCCAGGAGGAGTGGGTCTGCACCTTCTTGTTTTCTCTGGGTAGCAACAGCTCCAGCGTAGCCACGCTCGTCTCTCTGAAGGTCTTGTTTCCTTTCCCTCTCTTCACAGCCTGACCTCGGATTGACTCCAGGGCGCCCCCTACCACCACCACAGGGAGACGCAGCAGAGGGGCGTAACGCTCTGCCAGCTCCTGGTGAAGGAACAGAGAACACCTGAATAAAAATGGCTGTTTGATCTGTCTGGCGGACTAAGAAATGGGAATAGTGGGTCTTAGTCTCCTCCCCTTTCCGGTCGGCTTTTGGGTCCCTGAGCAGATCTAAAAAGAGCTATTCTCTGATCCACTTTGCCTCACGCCCTGGATCGCACTCGTTGTACTTCCGTTTAAATGAAAACTAATGATGGGAGTTTCGACCACGCCAGTCCCGTACTTTAATATTTATCAGCTTGTAAAAGTTCGTAATAGCATGACTACAAATCAGACATGGCACATCGCACCTGACGTCACCACAGAATCTCCTCCCCCTAGCATAGCTGCTACGCACCACATGACCAGATTTGTGGTGGTTCTTTCCTCCTGAAGGAAGGATTTGAAGTTTGCTGCACTTACAGCCATCCTCCTCTGGTTCAATGTGGTAAGACGCATTTGTAGTCCTCCACCAAACCTAATATTACTTTTGTCCCCGTTCGAAAATAAGCGCTTTCTTGGCATCAGAATGTGTCTTTAAAATTCACGGACATCATCTGTGAAATCCATGGCACATAACAAAGAGAATAGAAAATAGCTTTTAGTCCCGGCGTTGACTTCATTCCTTCGTTCTTCCGGGACCCGAGGTCCGGAGGTAGATGGGCGGGACTTAGCTCCCTATGAACATCTGATTCAATGAATGTTGAGTTGGAAAATAAAACACAAACGTTTTTATTAATAACTCGGCTGAATCTGTTCAAACTTATTAAATAATTAACTTTGTTCATTTCAGGCTGGAGGTGTTGTTGTTTACACATGCTTGTTTATTTACTAACAAGTGACCGACCTGCAGGTGCTGCAGTCCAGGCTGGTTGTCATCCTCGGTGTAGGGAGGATTCCACAGCTGGATCCTTTCTAGCTTCAGCAGGCTCTTCAGCTTCGCCTCGGTGTTCTGCTCAGTCATGGTCTCTGAAAACAACAAGTAAACAAAGACTAAAGGACAGGAGGAGGGAGGGGCGTTCTACCTGGGTGGGACACAGCTGAGTCTGATGGTCTCTGTGATGGACTGGTGACCTGTCCAGGTGTAGCCCCACCCAGTAACAGCTGGAAGAGAACCAGCATCCTCAGACCCTGAACCTTTTATTTTGAAAAGTCAAATCGCTGGACGTCTTCCCAGTGCATCATGGGAAATGCAGCAATCGGCGTTAAGGGGTCTGAAGAAGAAAAGACCGGATTTAACCGCATTTGTAGAAGAGTTTAGAGAACCAGACTTGGGTCTCTGCGCAGCTCCGGAAGCCTCCAGCAGCTAGCAGCTAACTAGCATCATGTTTCAGAATAACACTGCTTTGGTAAAAGTCAGAGCGCTACAGTAAACTAGCAGCGTCACTGCGATAAAAGACGGTTTAATCTAACTAAACCCGACGTATTTAATAACAGTTTTAGGATAACTGACCCAGATAGTTCAGATTCAGATTTACTGGCCAAGTAAAAGCACATTTACAAGGAATTTGTCTTCGGTAGATGTTCGCTCTCTAAAACATACAACAACCGCAATAAATGAGAAGAAAAATACCTAAAAACACATAAGAACATGTATACACACACACACATATACATATCCTGCTAACTGTTAGCTCTATGATGCCATCTTTCAGTGTCAGCATTCAAGTACGAGAGGAGCTCAACGGGCTTCAACTCCGGTAAACCTCCGTTACCGTGGCGTTTCGGGTTCCGTGGCGTGGTTTTGATCAAGCAGACTCCTTGGAGCGCCACAGATGGAAGCGACCAACAAGAGGTCTCACTCCGACCACCTTTGCGTTCTACTGATTACGTCACGGTCACGACATAAACGGTCTTTGAACCGACTTACGGTTCCTGGTGAGGGTCAAATCTCATTCAGGCTGTTTTTTTTTATCTAATAATAAAATGAAACGGAACAAATCTGAACTGCCGTCAAGCCAGCACTCCTTAGATTTTTACGGACGCAACTGCACGAGGCATCATGGTGCCCTCGTTTTAGCGTGCCTTTCAAAATAAAAGCGCACTTTCAGGATGTGCGTCTTGTCTGAACGTGCTGATGAACAGATTGAACAGATTTCAAAGTTTGTGTTAAATTGTGTGTAAAATAAAACTTAGTTACCAATTTATAGTGAAAATTGTCTTTAGTGTCAACTTTGATTGCACTTTATTTTCAAAAGCCACATCAGATCCTTATGAAAGTTGGGGAGGATGTAGTAGTCCATGTGTACTTTAAGACCCTAATTGGAATGATGCTGCAGAATCAGTTTTTGAGAAATTAACCATTGAATATAGTGAAAATTGTCTTTATATATGTACACACACATTAGATACATATATGAACCAGGAAAAGGGAGTGAAAGTGATGTTGTGGTTTGTTTGTTTCTCTTTTCATTATTTGTAAATCACAAACCTCATATCAGCTTACGTGGCATGAGGACTTCACTGTGGGGGTGGGGCTAAAGAAGTATTTATTTCTGCATACTCCCATGTTTGACATAAATATACTACTACTACTACTACTATTACTACTATTACTACCACTGCCTCCCTCTCCCCAGCCACTTGGACCAGCTCCTCCGGGGGAATCCCAAGGCGTTCCCTGGCCAGGTGAGAGACATAGTCCCTCCAGTGTGTCCTGGGTCTACCTTTAGGTCTCCTCCCGGTTGGACGTGCCCAGAAAACCTCACCAGGGAGGCGTCCAGGAGGCGTCCTGACCAGATGCCCGAGCCTCCTCAACTGGCTCCTCTCGATGTGGAGGAGCAGCGGGTCTACTCCAGGTGGCCAAGCTTCTCATCCTACAGTTTGCAGGGCTCAGGTGGACGGGCATCCCAGGGCCTGGAAGCAGCGGCTGAAGAGGCCCGGGCGCCCACGCTGCAGAGGGTTACTGCTGAATCAGAGCGATCTGACATGAGAGTTGGTCCTAGACGCTACGTTTGTTCTAGAGAGGAAGAGTACAGTCCTGGACCGGGGGCACTAGCAACCCAACACACATGAGTGGAAGTGTGACGTCATTTGTCCCATAAGTCCGTAAGAATGTTCTCATGGATATCTGGAACGTTCATTTCTACCAGGAACGCTAGAAGTACCCATGTCCAGTCTGCCCAATAGCTTAGTGCAGCTGTTCTTATGGATGTCCTTAGTCATCGTTTCTATGGTAACGACATAGAGGTTGATGTCTACATTTGTAATTCTGACTGATACAAAGAGTCCTAGGGTCAATTAAATTATTGCTCCTTCAAATAGGAATGACAGAGATGTCTGGTTCTTGATTAAATGCCAAAACGACTTGCCATTGGGTCTAAACTTCACGCTCTGCTGTCATGGTTCTGTGGATGACAATGAACTGGTTGGGTTGTCTGCAGATGTTTCTGTTCATCTTCATCTGTGGTCAGTAGCTCTCAGATCTTGAACAGAGGACTTCCCTTGTCTCCATCTCCATGCACCTAGGGAGGACCAACATCCTCTTGTGTCTTGTCCAGGAAAGAAGAAGTCTGTGTCAGAACTGATCCTGGTTCTGGATCCACAGATCAAGGGTCTGTAGAAAGGTTCAGGGTGGATCAGGTCCAGGATTCCTCTGATCATCATGCCACTGACGATCCTCCTCCCAGATCCTCCTCGAGAACCACAGAGACCTCTGATACTGGTCCTCGGGGACAAAAGGAACCTGCCTCTGAGGACGGCATCATTGGTCTGCACCAGAACCAGGATGGAGACCAGTTAGCTGAGACCAGCAGCTCCAGGAGGAGCTCCAGGGAGCCTCTGCTCTCAGTGCCGACACAAACCCTGATCAACAGATTTAGCAGACAGCTAGGTCCTGGAGGAGCAGGCCCGTCTTCCCAGCAGCACTACCCATTCCCCAGCAGGAAGAGCCCAAAGATCTCCACGGCTGCCGGGAGACTGGGTCTGTACTCGTCTGTCTGAGGGTCCCCAGAGTCCAGCTTCCACCAAAACAAAACATGTGTGACTGAGACACATCCTCTCCCTCAGACGGGCCAAACGAGATTTCTGTTCAGTGTTTGTTTTTCTTTTTAATCATTAAACACAAATCAAGACATTCATAACGTGTGTGTGTGTGTGTGCGTGTGCGTGTGTTTGTGTGTGTGTGTGTGTGCGTGCGCGCGCGCGCGTGTGTGTGTGCGCGCGCGCGTGTGTGTGTGTTCTGGAGAACCGCTGATCCAGAACCTGCTGCTAGGAGGTAACACAGGAAGAGGTTCTGGACTGGGTCATGGGTTCTGTGTCTTTAAATCATTAAGCTCCTCCCCCTCACAAGTCGGGTGCGCGTGCTCGATGTGCGCGTGCCCGTTGTGTCTTTTTGAGATATGATGGACTCCGGTTCGGATTCTCCGCTCTATCTGGGCCTGGATTTCAGCACGCAGCAGGTAAAACCAGAACCCACCTGTTCCCCAGGTAACTTAGCGGCTCTGGGTCACGTGGTTTTACGTTTAACACGTGGGTAAAAAGCCTGAGCTTACTGCGCAGCCGCAGAAAAAGGACACGGTGCGGCAGCGGCTTCTGTTAAGTTTATCCGTTCGTAAACAAAGGCGCGCGAGGCTGTGATCACCGGAACCTCTGCCGGTACCGAACATTCTGGAAGGTTCCACCAACAGAACAGAGTCAGTGGTCCAGAACAGAAACCTGGACTTTGGTCTCTGGGTTCTTGCAGATGCGACTGACCCGGATGTTCCGGTTGTTGTTTTGGACAGCTGTTGAACAGCTGTTGTTTGTAAACAAATATGTTGTTGTTGTTGTGAAGCTGAAGGTGGTGGCTATTGATGGAGACCTGAACGTGGTCCATCAGAACTACCTGCAGTTTGACTCGGAGCTGCCAGAGTTCAGGTAACAACCAGGACACTTTATTTTGAAAGGCTCTCACTCAGGCTTTTATTTAGAAAAGGTTTGTTTTTGTTTAGGACTCAGGGAGGAGTTTACCTACACATGGACAGACTTACTGTTACCTCACCTGTTCTGATGTGGGTCAAGGTGCGCCACACACACACGCACGCACTCACTCACTCTGAGGTCTGTTGACCTTTGACCCCTGGTTCTTTTGACTTGTTCCTCATAAGGCTCTGGACCTGCTGTTGGACAAGATGAAGAAGGAGGGCTTTGACTTTTCCCGGGTCAGAGCGCTGTCTGGCAGTGGCCAGGTGAGAGAGGCAGCGTGACTGGTTAGAAGGGCAGAGCTAGGAGAACTGGTTCTGCAGAACCAGAACTTTGGTTCCTGCAGAACTTTCTGGACATCCTGCATGTCTAATGAGACTGATTGTTCCTCTCAGCAACATGGCAGTGTCTTCTGGAGGACAGGAGCGTCTCAGACTCTGGCCCATCTCCACCCGGACCAGAACCTGCACCAGCTGCTGCAGGTGTGTGTGTGTGTGTGTGTGTGTGTGTGTGTGTGTGTGTGTGTGTGTGTGTGTGTGTGTGTGTGTGTATTTGCTGACTCAGGTGTGACAATGTGTCCACAGGACAGCTTCTCAGTTCTGGACAGTCCAGTATGGATGGACTCCAGCACCAGCTATCAATGTCAGAACCTGGAGGTGGCAACAGGGGGCGCTCTGAGGCTGGCACAGGTCACCGGGTCCAGAGCCTATGAGGTCCTGCTCAGCACCTGTCCGCCTGTCCTTTGTCTCCGAAGTCTCTGTGTTTGATCCCAGGTCCATTCTGTGTCTTCAGCGTTTCACAGGAAACCAGATCTGCAAACTGTATCAGAGCAGATCGGCCCGGTTCTGGTGTACCGAGGTCAGAGGTCACTACCTGCCTGATGTCTCAGGTGTTGTCTCACCCTTCATCAGTGTGTGTGGTTTCAGAGGATCTCATTGGTCAGCAGCTTCGCAGCCTCACTCTTCCTCGGTGGTTTCGCCTCCATCGACTACAGCGATGGTTGGCTATTTGATAAACACACGAGTCAGCTGATTGGTCAGCTCATTGATGACATCATCCTGATCCCTGTTTAGGTTCTGGGATGAATTTGTTGGACATCAGGACCAAACGCTGGTCTGAGGTCTGCCTGGAAGCCACCGCTCCTCATCTGGGGCGCCTGCTGGGGCTCCCAGTGCCATCCACATCTGTATTGGTAAGACTGGTCAAAACTGGTCTATCCAGATTGCTTCTTATTCATATCTACTGGTTCAAACTGGTCCTGTGTGGTGTTCCAGGGTCCTGTCTCCAACTACTTTGTGCATCGATATGGTTTCTCTGAAAACTGCAGCGTTGTGGCGTTCACTGGTGATAATCCAGGTGGGTAAGATCTGATCCTTATTGAACTGGAAGCCTGGATCTTTCTGTCCATCTGGCCTGTGGACACCAGGTGGCGCTGTGGTTCTTCTGATTATTCTGGATCATCGCCTTATTTCTGTTTTAGCAGCAGAGAGCCCAGTGGACTGACCACACAGAGCTAGCCTGGCAAACCATCCCATAAATGTGAAAACACAGTCTGGCCCTGACCCGTAGACGGAGAAGAACCCCGACCCTGTCCACAGATCAAAGTACAAAGCCTTCACAAGAACAATAAAACTAACACAATGATACTGGAGCTCAGGCGTGGGGTGGGATCTACAGATGTCTTTCAAACTGTCTCCACATGCTATTGGACAACAACCAACATGACATACTCGCCACTGCGGATGTCCGTCAACAAGACAGTCCACCATACTCAAAGGACACACCAACATGTCCTTCTACTACATAAACCTAATTACCTCTATCTGCTGCTCAGAGGAAAGACCTGGGGCCTCATTCATCAAGCTAGCTTACGCACAAAACGGGGTCGGAAAACTGCGTAAGCAACTTTCCACGCAAACGTTGGGATTCATGAAAGAAAACGTAGCAGAAAATGTGTGCAGCTTTAAGCTGACTAAGGACCTGGCTTACACACCTGCCGGGCATGGAGAGCACCTGCAGTGCTGCTGCTGAGAAGATAACATTATGAAATCCTGCAGCATCATCACTTGTACACACACACACACACGCTCACTCACTCACTCACTCTCTCTGAGGTCTGTTGACCTTTGACCCCTGGTTCATGGTGGACTCCCGCTCTGATGTCCTCTGGTGTTGGTCCATGGTGGACTCCCGCTGGGGTGTCCTCTGGAGTTGGTCCCTGGTGGACTCCCGCGCGGATGTCAATCTGGAGTTGGTCCCTGTTAGACTCCCACTCGGATGTCCTCTGCAGTTGGTCCCTGGTGGACTCCCGCTCGGACGGACGTCCTCTGGAGTTAGTCCATGGTGGACTCCCGCTCGGGTGTCCTCTGGAGTTAGTCCATGGTGGACTCCCGCTCGGACGGACGTCCTCTGGAGTTTGTCCATGGTGGACTTCAGCTCGGGCGTCCTCTAGAGTTAGTCTCTGGTGGACTCCCGCTCGGACGGACGTCCTCTGGAGTTTGTCCATGGTGGACTTCAGCTCGGGCGTCCTCTGGAGTTAGTCCCTGGTGGACTCCCACTCGGATGTCCTCTGCAGTTGGTCCCTGGTGGACTCCCGCTCGGACGGACGTCCTCTGGAGTTAGTCCATGGTGGACTCCCGCTCGGGTGTCCTCTGGAGTTGGTCCCTGTTAGACTCCCACTCGGATGTCCTCTAGAGTTAGTCTCTGGTGGACTCCCGCTCGGACGGACGTCCTCTGGAGTTTGTCCATGGTGGACTTCAGCTCGGGCGTCCTCTGGTGTTGGTCCATGGTGGACTCCCGCTGGGGTGTCCTCTGGAGTTGGTCCCTGGTGGACTCCCGCTCGGATGTCCTCTGGTGTTGGTCCATGGTGGACTCCCGCTCGGACGGACGTCCTCTGGAGTTTGTTCATGGTGGACTTCAGCTCGGGCGTCCTCTGGTGTTGGTCCATGGTGGACTCCCGCTGGGGTGTCCTCTGGAGTTGGTCCCTGGTGGACTCCCGCTCGGATGTCCTCTGGTGTTGGTCCATGGTGGACTCCCGCTGGGGTGTCCTCTGGAGTTGGTCCCTGGTGGACTCCCGCTCGGACGGACGTCCTCTGGAGTTTGTCCCTGGTGGACTTCAGCTCGGGCGTCCTCTGGAGTTAGTCCATGGTGGACTCCCGCTGGGGTGTCCTCTGCAGTTGGTCCCTGGTGGACTCCCGCTCGGACGGACGTCCTCTGGAGTTTGTCCATGGTGGACTTCAGCTCGGGCGTCCTCTGGTGTTGGTCCATGGTGGACTCCCGCTGGGGTGTCCCCTGGAGTTGGTCCCTGGTGGACTCCCGCGCGGATGTCAATCTGGAGTTGGTCCCTGGTGGACTCCCGCTCGGACGGACGTCCTCTGGAGTTTGTCCATGGTGGACTTCAGCTCGGGCGTCCTCTGGAGTTAGTCCATGGTGGACTCCCACTGGGGTGTCCTCTGGAGTTGGTCCCTGGTGGACTCCCGCTCGGATGTCCTCTAGAGTTAGTCTCTGGTGGACTCCCGCTCGGACGGACGTCCTCTGGAGTTTGTCCATGGTGGACTCCCGCTCGGGCGTCCTCTGGAGTTTGTCCATGGTGGACACCCGCTCGAGCGCAACAAAATCTTAAGAAAACTTTTCTGTTTCTTCTTTAGCGTCTCTGGCAGGAATGAGGCTCCAGCAGGGAGACATGGCTGTAAGTCCTGGTTGTCTCAGGTCCATTAGGTCTAGTTTGTTTCATCAGTGCTGTCCTCAGACTGGGTCCGTCTCTGCAGGTGAGTTTGGGGACGAGTGACACCGTCTTTCTGTCGATCCAGGAGCCTCGCCCAGCGCTCGAGGGCCACATCTTCTGTAATCCGGTTGACCTGGAGGCGTACATGGCCCTGCTGTGGTACCCACACACAACCAGAACATCACATCCGGTTCTGCTGGGTTAGAGGGAACTCCCATATTCTTCTGACTGTGAACGCTGCATTTTAAACTGGAAGTTGTAGTTCTGTAGAAGGTCCAACAGAACCAGAACCAGGGTTTAAGGTCCATGTTCTCAGATTTTCTGAGATGTTTCTGGTCTTGTTTCTTCAACAGTTTCAAGAACGGATCGCTAACGCGAGAACGGATCAAGAACCAATGCAGCGGGGGAACATGGGAACATTTTTCAGCCACTTTGAGAGAGACTTCGCCAGGAAACAACGGAAACATCGGTCAGATTAGCTCTGCCTACCTTCCCCTCACCACTCCCCCTTTCCTGACAGTCTATCTGTCTTCCAGGCTTTTATTTTGACAGTCAGGAGATAACCCCTCCTGCCAGTGGTGTTCATCGTTTTGACTCGGATAACTTTGAGGTTGGTCCTCTGTGTCCCATTTCAGCTGAATCCTCTCTCACCTGTCTATGAACTGTCTCACCTGTCCAACCCATCCACAGGTGTCCCATTGGAGTCCTCAGGTGGAGCTCCGGGCTCTGGTAGAGGGTCAGTTCCTGTCCAGAAGGCTTCATGCTGAGCGGCTCGGGTACTCCATCAGTAAGACATGTTTCAGGTCCTGGTGGACTTTGTCAGTAGAGGGTATTGGGAAACATTTACCTAGAGCTTGAGCCTCCTAAAGACTCCATTAAATAAAGACATGGACCTTCTGAGAGGAATCTGGCTCCGTTTGTGTTGCAGCTGCAGGAACCCGGGTTTTAGCGACTGGAGGAGCTTCATCCAATAGAGAACTGCTGCAGGTTAGGTTCTTCTCTATAAGACAAAAGTTCTTGATTTGTTTTTTACTGGTTCTGATCCATCAGGACCAGAACCGTTATCCATTTACTCAAACCGGTTCTATTTTTCTTCTGGTCAGGTTCTGGCTGATGTGTTCAGCGCTCCGGTTTACACCATGGATCTGTCCAACTCGGCCTGCCTGGGGTCGGCCTACAGGGCGCTGCACGGTAATTTACCCATCCAAAGGTTCTGGTACAGACCCGTTATACCTAAATGCCGTTAGTAACACGCTATACCTAACTGCTGTCAGTAACGCCGTTATACCTAATCGCCATTATTAACGCCATTATAACTAAATGCTGTTAGTAACGCCGTTATAACTAAATGCTGTTAGTAACGCCATTATAACTAAATGCTGTTAGTAACGCCGTTTTAACTAAATGCTGTTAGTAACGCCATTTTAACTAAATGCTGTTAGTAACGCCGTTTTAACTAAATGCTGTTAGTAACGCCGTTATAACTAAATGTTGTTAGTAACGCAGTTATACCTAATCGCCGTCAGTAATGCCGTTACACCTAAATGCTGTTAATAACACCGTTATACCTAATCGCAGTTAGTAACACCGTTATTACTAAATGCTGTTAGTAACACCATTATACCTAAATGCTGTTAGTAACGCCGTTATACATAAATGCTGTTAGTAATGCCGTTATACCTAAATGCCGTTAGTAATGCCGTTATACATAAATGCTGTTAGTAATGCCGTTATACCTAATCACTATTAGTAATGATGTTATGCCTAAATGCTATTAGTAACACCGTTATACCTAATCGCTATTAGTAACACCGTTATAAGTAAATGTTGTTAGTAACGCCGTTATACCTAATCGCTATTAGTAACACCGTTATAAGTAAATGATGTTAGTAACGCCATTATACCTAATCGCTATTAGTAACATCGTTAGACCTAAATGCTGTTAGTAACACTGTTATACCTAAATGCCGTTAGTAACACTGTTATACCTAAAGGCCGTTAGTAAAGCTGTTATACCTAAATGTTGTTAGTAAAGCTGTTATACCTAAATGTTGTTAGTAAAGCTGTTATACCTAAATGGTGTTAGTGACACTGTTATACCTAAATGCTGTTAGTAACACGTTATACTTAAATGCTGTTAGTAACACCGTTATACCTAAATGCTGTTAGTAGTAATGCCGTTATACCTAATTGCTGTTAGTAACACCTTTATACCTAAATGCTGTTAGTAACACCGTTATACCTAAATGCTGTTAGTAACACCGTTATATCTAAATGCTGCTAGGGACACCATTATACCTAAATGGTGTTAGTAACACCATTATAACTAAATGCTGTTAGTAATGCTGTTATACATAATTGCCATTAGTAACGCCATTATAACTAAATGCTGTTAGTAATGCCGTTATACCTAATCACCATTAGTAACGCGGTTATACCTAAATGCTGTTAGTAACACCGTTATACCTAAATGCTGTTAGTAACGCTGTTATACCTAAATGCTGTTAGTAACACCGTTATTACTAAATGCTGTTAGCAACACCGTTATACCTAAATGCTGTTAGTAACACCGTTATATCTAAATGCTGCTAGGGACACCATTATACCTAAATGGTGTTAGTAACACCATTATAACTAAATGCCGTTGGTAACGCCGTTACACATAAATGTTGTTAATAACGCCGTTATACCTAAATGCTGTTAGTAATGCCGTTATACCTAATCGCCATTAGTAATGCTGTTATACCTAAATGCTGTTAGTAACGCTGTTATACCTAAATGCTGTTAGTAACACCGTTATTACTAAATGCTGTTAGCAACACCGTTATACCTAAATGCTGTTAGTAACACCGTTATATCTAAATGCTGCTAGGGACACCATTATACCTAAATGGTGTTAGTAACACCATTATAACTAAATGCCGTTGGTAACGCCGTTACACATAAATGTTGTTAATAACGCCGTTATACCTAAATGCTGTTAGTAACACCGTTTTACCTAATCGCCATTAGTAAGGCCGTTATAAGTAAATGCTGTTAGTAATGCCGTTATACCTAATCGCCATTAGCAACACCATTAGACCTAAATGCTGTTAGTAACACTGTTATACCTAAATGCTGTTAGTAGAAACGCCATTATACCTAAATGCTGTTACACCTAAACTCTGTTATTAACACTGTTATTAACGCTGTTAACCCTAAACGCTGTTAGTAACGCCGTTAACCCTAAATGCGTTCCCAGACTCTTTCTCTGTGCAATAGCAAACAGAGGAGGCGTCTGGCTGACCAGGCTAGTAAAGTGTGTGGCTGCCCCTTATTATCATGTTTATTTTGAACTAACAAATACATAATTTCTTACTTCTTGAAATTCTTATATTATTCAACTTGCTTACGTATCAACCAATACAAATTCCTGCTAATGTGAAACTGCTCACTTACTTCCCTGCTGTTCAAACCAGCATAGTATGCTGTGTTCTGGTGCTGGTCAATCGTCCCACCTTGAGATCTGGGTCTGCTTGGTGTGAAACCGTTGAACAGAGCCAGGTCCATCTGGATCAGCTGTAACTACAACAGCTCTGCTCTTATTGGCCGACACATCACTCTGACTGCTTGTTTTCAGGCTTGGTGGCAGAGTCTGGAGTTTCATTCTTTGATGTGGTGAAGAAAGCTCCAGAACCACAGCTGATCGCCACCCCAGACCCAGCAGCCACGCAGGTACACGGGCCTGTGTGTGTGTGTGTGAGTGAGTGAGTGAGTTATTCCAGCTGTTCAGCGTCTGCAGGAGTAAATCATGAAGACTTCTAGCTTTAAGCAGAAGCTCCGCCTCCATCTGAACTCCCCCCCCTCCATCCGTCAGGTGTATGACCAGATGTTGAGGCGTGTTGCACAGCTGGAGGACAGAGTCCTGCAGAAGAACCGTACCTGAACCACAGTCAACCAATCAGTGAAGTTGGATCTTGAGGTGAGGCTAAAGGAAAGCTTTTGTCATGGTGATGAGGGTTCTGATCCGACTTTGAACCTAGAACCAAAGCAGCAGAACCTCCATGTTCTCCTGGTTAGGGTGGGATCCATCAGCTATCTGAACATGATGTTGTGTTTGTGTTTACACATCAGGTTCTGTTTGGGCCGAACCAGAACTGGGACGGGTTCTGGTTCCACGTTGATCAGATTTCAGTTTGTTTTTGATCAAATTAATAAAGAAATTAAACAACGATGTGCAGTGTTTTCATCTGTGTGTGTGTGTGTGTGTGTGAGTGTGTGTGTGTGTGTGTGTGTGTGTGTGTGTGTGTGTGTGTGTGTGTGTGTGTGTGTGTGTGTGTGTGTGTGAGAGAGAGAGGGGGGGGGGGGAGAGGGAGGGAGGGAGAGAGAGAGAGGGGGAGGGAGGGAGAGAGAGAGGGAGGGAGAGAGGGGGGGGAGAGGGAGGGAGAGAGAGGGGGGAGAGGGAGGGAGGGAGAGAGAGAGAGGGGGGGGGAGGGAGGGAGAGGGATTTATTTTGAAAGTCCCCCCACCCCAAACCCCATATCCACCGGACCCGGACTCGGAGGTGGGAGTCAGCAGGAGGAGGCGGAGGGAGAAGCACCGTGGTCCGGAGAACCGGACAAGAACCGGGAGAAGTACAAAGCAGTGGTGAGGTCCAGACTGGGCCGGGGGGGACTCTCCGGACCTGGGTCCCTGTTCGGAAGGTTGAGGCTGGAAGACTTAACGGTCCAGAATCCCGGGTACCGGATCTTAAACATTCTGCAGAGAGACCGGGTCCAGTCAGAGATGTGTGTGTCCAGGCTGAGCTGTGGTCTGCTTCTGGTTTCGGTTCTGGTGCCGCTGGGGACTCTGTGTGCAGGTGAGCTGGTTGTGCAGGTGGGCAGGAACCGGTACCTAACGGGCTTCTGGGCAGGTTTGGTGGACCAGACGACTCTAGAACCCACGGAACTCCCAGTGCGTGGTTCTGGTTCTGGTTCTAGCGGGTCAGATGTCTGCAGGTGAGCACGTGCACATGCACGCTCCATTGTCTTTCTGTTGATCTAGCAGTAGCGCTTGTGCACGTGCGTGCACCTGCTACTACTGCTTGTCTGAACTGACCCACAGAGTATCCGCTGTGACATCACGTGACCCTAGAGTTGTGATTTAATCTGGAGGGCCGGTACCCAGCATGTTTTAGTGTTTTCCCTGTTCAGCACACCTGGTTTCAGTCGGCAGGTGATTAACAGGCTACTGCAGAGCCTGATGAGCTGCTGCACAGGTGTGCTGGAGCAGAGAAACCACTAAAACGTGCTGGGTACCGGCCCTCCAGAACGGCTCTGATCTGGAACCTGCTATAGTCACGTGGTGGACTTGAAGTGGTGGAGTCTGGGTTTGAACCAACAACCCTCCGGTCAGCTGAAGGGCACTTTGTACTTTGTGGGTTTAGTCATGAGTTTAGCCCCGCCCAGTAACACCTGCTGGTTGTGTCCCAGGGAAGCTGCCGTAGCTCATCCCATCAGTGTGAAGGACCGCGGTTGTAAAGGGCTTTGGGGAGTTCCAGGACTCTAGAGGACATGGCCGACCTGCAGCCATCAGACATGGTGTGTGGGTGGGGCTTGATGTATGGGGGTGGAGTCTGCTGTTGGTTTGCACGAATGAATGAATGAGTGTTCATCGACATGAATATGGATGAGTGTGACCTCTGACCCTAGCAGCACAAAGACTCAGCACCGGTGTTTTGCATCATAAAGTGTTGCTCTCTATATTAGCATTTGACTCATGGCTGCAGCAGCAAGCAGAGGCCACCAGGGGTCAGAGGTCACAGCCAGGCACACAGACGTGTGTGTGTCTGAATGTGGCTGAGCTGTTCCCACGGTCCTCCAGCTGTCAGCGGTTCTTCTCAGCAACAGCTGCTGGTGGAAGACGGGGGCGGGCCTGTGGACGGTGATGCGTTCAGGTTCACTCAGTCGTATTGTTGTGAAACGAGACAAAGACGTAACCAGCTGGTCCTTCTGTCCCCTCTGGGACGCTGAAGCAGAAACCTGTCTGACCACACCCTTTCTGAGGTGTGTGTGTGTGTTCTTGTACTTACTACATACTGAGGACCATTTTCTATACGAAGTGAGGACATATTTTGATCCTCACTTATTTTTTAGAAGCTTCCTTCACCAGTTAGAGGTCTGGTGTGAGTTTAGGGTATGGGTATGGGTTAGGCACGGTGGAGTCATTAACATGTATGGAAGTCAACAGAGGGTCCTCATTGTGATAGATAGGTGTGTGTGTGTGTGTGTGTGTGTGTGTGTGTGTGTGTGTGTGTGTGTGTGCTACAGGGCTGAGACATGGTGGGGAGGGCACTAGGGAGTGTGTGTACTACAACATAAACTATGAGACAGAGAAGACCAATCAGAGCGGAGTGGAGCGCTGCGAAGCCGAGGAGGACAAACACTCCCACTGCTTCTCCTCCTGGAGGAATGAGTCTGGATCCATCGAGCTGCTCAAGAGAGGATGCTGGTTAGATGACTTCAACTGCTATAACAGGTACCACACACACACACACACACACACACACACACACACACACACAGATCAACACAGTACTAGAGCGTTGGTGTGTGTGTGTCCTTCAGGCAGGAGTGTGTGGTGACAGAGGAAAGTCCTCAGGTTTTCTTCTGCTGCTGTGAAGGAAACTTCTGTAACGAGAACTTCACTTACCTGCCTGACCGGAGCCGCCCAGGTGAGCCTGTAGCAAGTGTGTGAGAATAAAACCAGGTGCGGATAGAGGTCCTGGAGGATGGCGTCATCGCCGGTACCCGGAGGATGGCGTCTCCAGGACCCTGTTCTGACCGTGTGCCTGCGTTTCAGTCATCAGGGCCCGGCCCGGTGGTACCGGCCCGTTACACCTGCTGATTTACTGCCTGCTGCTAGTCATCACGCTGCTCGTGGGTCTGCTCGTTACCGTCTGGTTATATCAACACCGGAAGCCTCCTTACGGACACGTGGACGTCTCTGAGGTACTTCTCATGGTGTGGTCAGCGCACCAGCTGGTGTGGGTCTGAGGAACCAATCAGCTGTTTGATCTCAGCTTTTCTGTCCTCCTGAGGAGGTGGTATTCCTGGTTCTGATACTGAAGTCCCTTCTTCCTCTCCTCCAGGATCCTGGTCCTCCCTTGGCCTCCCCTCTGCTGGCTCTGAAGCCCCTGCAGCTGCTGGAGGTGAAAGCTAGGGGGCGCTTTGGATGCGTCTGGAAGGCCCAGGTCCTGAACGAGTTTGTGGCTGTGAAGATCTTCCCCATCCAGGTGAGGCGATGTTTCCTTTCAGGCCCCTCCTCCAGTGGGAGTGTCTGAACACCCTTTACCCCCTCCCAGAACAAGGAGTCATGGCAGAACGAGAGGGACGTGTTCCTGACTCCAGGAATGAGACATGAGAACATTCTGAGGTTTCTGGGAGCAGAGAGACGGGGGCAGCAGGGAGGGACTCACCTGGAGGCGGAGCTTTGGCTCATCACAGAGTTCCATGAAAAGGTGAGGATGGCCACGTCCCATTTTGCTTTCCCTGTCCGACCACGTGCGCCGGACTGATGACCGCAGAACCTTGCTGTCCCTGCAGGGCTCTCTGTCGGACTTCCTGAAGGGGAACGTGGTCAGCTGGACCGAGCTGTGTCTTATAACGGAGTCCATGGCCCGCGGTCTGGCATACCTTCATGAGGACGTCCCCCGACTGAAGGGACACGGACACAAACCGGCCATCGCTCACAGGTGGACCTCTTCCACCATCAGCTAGAGAAGCGTGCTGCTCCTGGATGTTAGGAGACCATCTGATACTGTTTGTTCTTCAGGGACTTCAAGAGTAAGAACATCATCCTGCGTTCAGACCTCACCGCCGTCATCGCCGACTTTGGCCTGGCTATTGGCTTTGAAGCAGGGGAACCACCTGGAGAGACTCATGGACAGGTGAGCAGGTGTCTGGATCTTCAGGTGAGCCCTGGGTGCCGGTCTGGGCTGACAGGTGTGTGGGTCAGTGCAGGTGGGCACTAGGCGCTACATGGCTCCAGAGGTGTTGGAAGGAGCCATCAACTTCCAGAGAGACGCCTTCCTGCGGATCGACATGTACGCCCTGGGACTGGTTCTGTGGGAGGTTCTGACCCGCTGCCATGCTGCTGACGGTAAAGAATGTCAGGTTCTGTTTGGGTAGAACGCTCCAGAGCTATGCCTGAGGTTCTCCAGGTTCAGAACATCAGCTCTTTGGACCCATTAGAGGGAAAGTTTTGTTCTCCAGGTTCAGTAGAACCCTGGTTCTGGTGTGTTCAGGTCCAGTCGATGAGTACCTGCTGCCGTTTGAGGTGGTGGTGGGTCAGCATCCGACCCTGGAGGACCTGCAGGAGGTTGTGGTCCACAAGAAGATGAGACCAACCATTAAAGAAGTCTGGCTGAAACATGACGTGAGTACCTGCAGTTCCAACCCAGTTAGTTTGTACCGGTACCGCTCCACTTCAGCTGGGCCTCAGGTCACACGAGGCAGCCCTGGAGCAGGTTCTGAAGAGTTCTGGACCTCCTGTCTGCAGGGCCTGGCTCAGTTCTGCGAGACGGTGGAGGACTGCTGGGACCACGACGCCGAGGCCCGTCTGTCAGCCGGCTGCGTGGAGGAGAGGATCTCCCAGATCCGGCGGCACGCCTCCATCCAAGGCCCGCCCACCCCGCTGGTCTCCTCACCCGTCACCATGGTGACAAACGTAGACCTGACCTCTAAAGAGACTAGGACATGACCTGGACCTTCGACCCCTCGCTGTTCCGTTTCACCTGGACTCCGGTCACCAGCACACAGAGGAGGGGTCACATGACCTGATCTGCCTTTTTCCTCTTTGATGTTTTTTGAGTAATTTTGTTTGTTGCTGATGTGAAAACCAGGATGTGTCAGGATTTAGCTCCGTCGGGACGGAGCGCTTCAGGGATTCTAAACAGTCAAACTAATCTGGCCGAGGTTCTGCAGTTTCCATTTCCTGTACAGCAGCAGAGGTCAAAGGTCATATGTCTGATCTGGGACCAATCCTCGCTCTGCGGCCATCAGCGAGGTGCGTAGTAGGGCGTGAGTCTACGGTCGCTGCAGCTCACGTGAAACCGGAGTCTGCAACATCGTCCTGAAACGAACTCGGGCGAGTGCAGATCCACTTCCAAACCCAGGACCGGAACGTCCTACACTTCTGGACTGGAGTCTGCTGTTGAAGGGTGCAGGAGCGAGTGTTGGGGTTGGGCCCAAAATGAGGCGAGCGACCTTCGTCTAACAGAATGTGTTTGTCTCCTGTGTGATGCTGCTGATTACCATGACAACCAGCCAAACCTCAGACGTGTTTGTGGACTAGAGGAGCGTCTCCTGCCCGTTTTGTTGTTTCTGGCAGCTCAGGAGCACCTGGACTGACCAGACCTCCCTCCATCCGCCTACCTCCTCACCTTTGTACTCGTTTGCTGATCTCAGGAAGCAACCAGACTCAGATCAGGTGTGTTAGTTTGGAATAAAGCGTGTAACGTTCCAGAGCGGTGTTGTCCTACACGCTTTAGCAGCTGAATGATGAGAGAACAGCTTCAAGTTGTAAAATTTATTTTCTGTAAATGATTCTGAATCAGACGCACCATAATTCCCACAGAAAGGCCCAAAACCAGGCTTCACTTAGTTTACATCCAATAATAGAAAAACAAAACCAGCAGAGCCTGAATAAAACTCCTATGTACACGGCCATGCTCGTCCAATCACGGCGCGGCACAGGAAGGGGTGTGATCTCTAAACTCTTCTTCTATGGTACAGGTATTTACACGCTGCCTTAGAAAATAGCTTCATTCAGTAATAAATACAAAAAAAATCTTATTTTACAGGAAATGATAAACATGGTGGGGGGGGGGGGGATCAAGTGTGTGTACTTGTGTGTTTTAGTGCAAATCAAACATTCGGTTATCTCACATTTACACTTAATTACACCGAGGACCAGCCTCTTCTGCAGCCCCACCCCACCTGTCATTAACATCTGATTGGTTTGATGATACAATATTAGCTCCGCCCAAAAAGGGGGGCGATCGACCTGCCTCAGCACAGAGAGGGAGGCGTGATCAGTTCATCCATTTACGGCAGTTCATGGCTCCACAGTGACACGGGATCTTGTGCTGGTCATCCTCCAGGTCAAACTTGTAGTCATAGCACAGCTGTGGGGGCGGAGCCAACACAATGAGTGACATCATAGACGTAGAGATCGGTGATTGATTGGCTGATGAATTGATCTTACCTCCTCTCCTCTCTGGATGCGTCTGCAAGAGCTGATGATGATCTTGTTCTCCCGCTCCACGGTCACCACCTCAGTGATGCAGTTGGGAGCACACGAGTGGTTGATGTACCTGTCAATCACAAACAAACCCGCCCCCCCTCAGGTGTCTGCATCTTGCTCTAACAGCTCAGTCTGGAGAGCATGTCTCACCTGGCTGGTCCTCCAGTGATGGTGGCGTCTATCACGTAGTCGTTGTCGATCCGGAACATGTACACGCCGCGGTTCTACAAACACAACGTCAGAGTTCAGCTCTGGGTTGGACCCTAGAGGCATCAGAACCAGGGTCTGGGTTCAGGGGTTTTATCACCAGGCTGCGCCGTCTCACATCTCCTCATGTCCTGTACTCAGGAGGTGTGTCTGATCACCAGCTCAAGTGCGCCTCCTATTGGGTCCTCCAACCCGTTCTACTACACACCCTCCTGGACAGAACGTCTCTCATCACTTCTATGCAGACGACATTCTGCTGTTCAGCTGCTTTAAGGGCAGAGCTCCATAAACCCTAACCCCAGAGCAGACCTGAGTACGCTGAAGATGCCATTCACCTTCTTTAAGGTTGGCTTTATTAATCACCAAGGGGGAACCGAGTTGCCATGGACATATAAAAACAACCACCAGACTGCTATAAACCACAACCATGATAAAAGCATCACACAACACCCGATAATACACGCTTGTGTGAAAGGACTGGTCCTCTTCAACCGCATCACCGTTCAAGGTGCACCCAGATGTTTGTATGGGTTAGGGCTCAACAGGTTGGCCTTTGATGACCACAGGAGAGGTTTGTTTTTCTTCCTAAAACCAATCATCAGCTGTTGTCGTGTCATCACACCATCTAACAAAGGAGTGAACTCCCTCCCTGTAAGCCGGCCTGGAAACATCTTGAATGGTCCAAAGTAGCATGGTTCTTAATGGTTGACTATGGAATGCAAACACTCTGGCGTTCAGAGGTGGTCTTGCACCAACAGGACTAATCTTCCAGCCGCTGGGATGTCGGTTCACCGCCCTAACCCAGCAGCACGTTCAGACACATTGTACAGGATAAGGACTCGTTTCTACGATTACGTTTATTTTACAGCAGGAACATCTTCTGGGCTCAGAATCAGCTGCTTCGCCTTGCTGAGCAAACTTTAACACAACAGTGCCCTCTAGTGGCTGGTAGATGTAAACATCAACAGCATTGTGCTGACCAAGCCCCCACAATGCGGTGTCAGTACAAGATCTGCTCGGGTGCAAAATTGGCTCGGGGTCCATCGACTGCCGATGACGTCTAAGTAGTTGATTGGCTGAACATGAACCTTACGGAATTACGTAATCACGTTACGTTGTTATCACGTTACGTTGGTCCAGGCAAATGTTTCTGTTGGAAAGATGGACAACTTTTACAAAGAAATCCATCATTACCTCTTTGAAAATACACTTTTAGCACAGAGCTGCATGTATATTAGGGCTGAACGATTAATTGCATGTGCAATTAAATTGCGATGTGACAAAAGGAGATTTTCTAATAGCAAAGGCTGCAATTTGGCAGCGAGTGGTTAGCGCAATGCTAATATACATGGAAAAACCCATAGGAATGCTAATGCTAATATCACCGATTACATTCTTACAAATTATAAATAAGAAACGTGCCAAATGATTACATTTGGAGTCTAATAGAAAGTAAAACTACCATCAATCAAGTAAGTACAGACAGGTATTTCAGTAAGGCCAGAAAACTTTTAACTCCAGAGTTTTGGCTAGCAGCTATGAGCTTAACTGAACTACGCATGGACAGGACGTCAAAAACTCTAAACACAAAATACTTCAATAAACGGGACACACTTATTTCCTGCAAATACAATTTCACAGGTGTTGCTAATACCTATGATCCTTCAAGGGATGTGCTCAAAGAGGAGTTCAACATTATGAATACAATATAGTGTTTTATTTTACAAATCGTCGTCGTCGTCTTCCTCCACTTATCCGGGTCCGGGTCGCGGGGGCAGCATCCCAATTAGGGAGCTCCAGGCCGTCCTCTCCCCGGCCTTGTCCACCAGCTCCTCCGGCAGGACCCCAAGGCGTTCCCGGACCAGATTGGAGATGTAACCTCTCCAACGTGTCCTGGGTCGACCCGGGGGCCTTCTGCCGGCAGGACATGCCCGAAACACCTCCCCGGGGAGGCGTCCAGGAGGCATCCTGACCAGATGCCCAAACCACCTCAACTGGCTCCTTTCGATCCGGAGGAGCAGCGGTTCTACTCCGAGTCCCTCCCGAATGTCCGAGCTCCTCACCCTATCTCTAAGGCTGAGCCCGGCCACCCTACGGAGGAAACTCATTTCGGCCGCTTGTATCCGCAATCTCGTTCTTTCGGTCATTACCCAAAGCTCATGACCATAGGTGAGGATTGGGACGTAGATCGACCGGTAAATCGAGAGCCTGGCTTTCTGGCTCAGCTCCCTCTTCCCCACGACAGATCGGCTCAGCGTCCGCATCACTGCAGACGCCGAACCAATCCGCCTGCCGATCTCCCGATCCCTCCTACCCTCACTCGTGAACAAGACCCCGAGATACTTAAACTCCTCCACTTGAGGTAGGACCTCTCCCCCGACCCGGAGGTGGCAAGCCACCCTTTTCCGGTCGAGAACCATGGTCTCAGATTTGGAGGTGCTGATCCTCATCCCAGCCGCTTCACATTCGGCCGCGAACCTACCCAGCAAGAGCTGAAAGTCAGAGCTGGATGAAGCTAGGAGGACCACATCATCCGCAAAAAGCAGAGACGAGATTCTCCTGCCACCAAACTCGACACACTCCACACCACGGCTGCGTCTAGAAATTCTGTCCATAAAAGTGATGAACAGAACCGGTGACAAAGGGCAGCCCTGGCGGAGTCCAACCCTCACTGGGAACAGGTCCGACTTACTACCGGCTATGCGGACCAAACTCACGCTCCTCTGGTAAAGGGACTGAATGGCCCTTAACAGAAAGCCACCCATCCCATACTCCTGGAGCGTCCCCCACAGGGTGCCCCTGGGGACACGGTCATAAGCCTTCTCCAAATCCACAAAGCACATGTGGATTGGTTGGGCAAACTCCCATGCCCCCTCCATCACCCTTGCAAGGGTATAGAGCTGGTCCACAGTTCCACGGCCAGGACCAAAACCACATTGCTCCTCCTCTATCTGAGATTCAACTATCGATCAGACCCTCCTCTCCAGTACCTTGGAGTAGACCTTTCCAGGGAGGCTGAGGAGTGTGATCCCCCTATAGTTGGAACACACCCTCAGGTCACCCTTCTTAAAGATGGGGACCACCACCCCGGTCTGCCACTCCCTAGGAACTGCCCCCGATGACCACGCAATGTTGTAGAGACGTGTCAACCATGACAGCCCTACAACATCCATAGCCTTGAGATACCCAGGACGAACCTCATCCGCCCCCGGGGCTCCGCCGCTGTGTAGTTGTTTGACTACCTCAGCAACTTCTGCCCCCGAGATCGGACAGTCCATCCCCAGGCCTCCCAGCTCTGGTTCCTCCTCGGAATGCGCATTGGTGGGATTGAGGAGCTCCTCAAAATATTCCTTCCACCGACCGACTATAGCCTCAGTTGACGTCAGCAGCTCCCCATCCCCACTGTAAACAGTGTGAGCGAGTTGCTGCCTTCCTCTCCTGAGGCGCCGGACAGTTTGCCAGAACCTCTTTGGAGCCGATCGATAGTCTTTCTCCATGTCCTCACCAAACTCCTCCCACGCCCGAGATTTTGGCTATCCGGTACCTGTCTGCTGCCTCCGGAGACCCACAGACCAGCCACGCCCTGTAGGCCTCCTTCTTCAGCCTGACGGCTCCCCGAACCTCTGGTGTCCACCAGCGGGTACGGGGGTTGCCACCACGACTGGCACCGACCACCTTACGACCACAGCTAGCAACAGCCGCCTCGACAATCGCAGAGTGGAACAAGGCCCACTCGGACTCAATGTCCCCCACTGCTCTCGGGACGTGGTCAAAGCTCTGCCGGAGGTGGGAGTTGAAGACCGTCTTGACAGGTTCTTCTGCCAGGCGTTCCCAGCAGACCCTCACTATGCGTTTGGGTCTGCCAGGTCTACGCGGCATGTTCCCTTGCCATCTGATCCAACTCACCACCAGGTGGTGATCAGTTGACAGCTCCGCCCCTCTCTTCACTCGGGTGTCCAAAACATACGGCCGCAGGTCAGATGATACGACTACAAAATCTATCATCGACCTGTGACCTAGGCTGCCCTGGTACCAAGTGTACCGGTGGGCATCCTTATGTTCGAACATGGTGTTCGTTATGGCCAAACTGCGGCTTGCACAGAAGTCCAATAACAAAACACCGCTCGAGTTCAGATTAGGTGGGCCGTTCCTCCCAATCACACCCCTCCAGGTCAAGCTGTCATTGCCCACGTGAGCATTGAAGTCCCCCAGCAGGACAATGGAGTCCCCTGATGGAGCACTATCTAGCACTCGTCCCAGGGACTCCAAAAAGGGTGGGTACTCTGAACTGATATTTGGCCCATAAGCACAAACAACAGTCAGGACCTGTTCCCCGACCCGAAGGCGCAAGGAAGCTACCCTCTTGTCCCCCGGGGTAAACCCCAACACACAGGCAGAGAGTCTCGGGGCTAACAAAAAGCCAACCCCAGCCCTCCGCCTCTCACCCGGAGCAACTCCAGCAAAGTAGAGTGTCCAACCCCTCTCCAGGTCTCGGGTTCCAGAGCCAATGCAATGTGTCGAGGTGAGTCCGACTATATCTAGCCGGTACCGCTCAACCTCTGCCACAAGCTCCGGCTCCTTCCCCGCCAGCGAGGTGACGTTCCATGTCCCAAAAACTAGTTTTCTTGTCCGGGGATTGGACCGCCAAGGCTCCCGCCTTGGTCTGCCACCCGATTCGCATTGCACCGGACCCTTCATGTTCCTCCTGCGGGTGGTGGGTCCACAGTTGGATGAGCCCATGTATCCGGTTCGGGCTGGGCCCGGCCCCATGGGCGAAAGCCCGGCCACCAGGCGCTCGCTCACGGGCCCCAACCCCAGGCCTGGCTCCAGGGTGGGACCCCGGTAACCCTCCGGGCCGGGTACTCCGACTCTATGTGTGTGTATATATATATATATGTGTGTGTATATATATATATATATATATATATATATATATATATATATATATACATACTGTACTGCAGCTCCAGAACTGCACATGAAGCCAAATGAATGCTCAGGTAGTTAGAGGGTCGCAAGCATGGCTGGCCACAATTTTGATTTGGATTTTTTTCTCAATAATTTGGCCAAATCGTTTCTTTCTTTCTTCCTGTTTAGATGTTTTCATTTACTGCTAGTTTTGTACTAAACTGAGTTGGTTCCCTTTCTAGTTTCTAATCTGTTTCTAGAGGGATGGGGGGTGCACTCGGTACACTCGTCTTGCCTCCAACATGCCTCCATCTAAAAGGCTAGGTTATCCAGAGTTAACTCTGTAGTTATGCTGCTATAGGCTTAGACTGCTGGAGGACACACTGACCACTTTTCACACTCTACTGCTTTCTTCTACAATCTGCTCTTTAACTGTATTATTTCCTGCTATTTCAGCTGTTAACTTTATTTTCTCTCTAAGTGTTTTTCTCCCCAGAAGAAGCTACAATGACGTTCTGCTGAGCTGTGGTGGCCTCATGGAGGGGGCCATCGACTAGCACACTGCTGCTAACCACTTAAACATTCTCCCTCTCCTGATAATGACTTTTTATTCTCTTTGACGTTGGACGTGCTACTACTAGTTTACCCGTTTAATTATAGATCCACTAGGATAAATACAATAAAGTTGACTGAATGTCTGATCGTCGCCCCTGAGAGCATGCTTCCCTGATTAGTCTAAAACTTGGTCATTTATCCTCTGCCGTCAAGTGAAACTGAAGGAATTTGGGTGTTTTCGACCAATCAGTGTCTCTTGAAGGCCACTCAACAACGTTGGTCTGAAACAGTTTTTATCATTTAAGAAATATCTCCAAACTGAGAAGGTTGGTGTCCAAACATGAACCTGAAATGGTTCTCCATGCCTTTACCTCCTCCCGTCTAGATAACTGTAACACACTCTTCACATGTTTTAACTAAAAGCCCTTGACCGCCTTCAGTTGGACCAGAACTCTGCAGCGAGGCTCCTAACTGGAGCAAACAGAAGAGCTCACATCACTCCTGTTCTGGTGTCTCTGCACTGGTTACCCGTTAACTTTAGAGTCCTGACTAGAACTTTCAGGGCTCTACATGCTCAAGCTCCTCCCTATATCACTGACCTGTTAAAGCCCTAAGCCTGGTTCATGCTTCTCCGTCAGCTCCGTAAGGGACAGACACGCACGGATTGACGGAAGCGTTTTGCTCTCATACTTCTCCGTCTCCTGGAGAGCGTTGCAAAGCAATTCCCCGGCAGGACCACAGAGGGCGTAGCGCTGTTCTGTGGTATCCCGTCATGTATCGGTCCAGGATCGTGTGTTTATATTGTGTTTTTTGTGTATGTAAGAGACTTTTAACACTGACATATTTCTCCTCCACCTCTTCATGCGCTCCCCACCTCTAAACCCACGTTTCCTGTCGTTTCCGTCCACAAATAAAACGCTTGCTGCGCATCTTTTCACTCCTCCAGTCACGGGAGAATTAAACGTTCATATTTTTAGAGTTTTTTCACAAGGTATTCTTCAAGCTTCTCCGTGTCTGCCGCTAGTTATCCTCGGCTCTCTTTGCAATGGCGGCGCTGTAAACAATAGCGGCATCCTGACCAATCACAAGCTTGCGTAATCCGTCTTGTTCGACGGATGTTTACAAAAGTGGGCTCGACTCCGTACGTACTTGCGTGCCTGCCGGAGCCCTACGCAAGGACGGATAACGGCGTTGCGTGTCTCCGCACTGACGCAGACGGAGAAGCATAAACCAGGCTTTATGCTCCACCCCGAGCCCTCAGGTCCACCCACCAGAACCTTCTAGAAGTTCCAGAGACCAGATACAAAAGTCCAGGTGACCGCTCCTTCCAGACTTTGGAATGATCTTCCTTTATCCTTACGCAGCGTTGACAGTCTGGACACTTTTAAGCTGAAGACCCTTTTATTTAATTATTTTGTTTTTCTTCATCGGTATCAGGATTTTAATCATCTTTTAATTTTGATTTGACTTTTTGTGACAAAATCTTTAAAAAGAAACTTCACTTACTACTGCTACTCCACAGTGTGTGCTTGTGAGAGAGCCAGGTGTGTGTGTGTGTGTGTGTGTATGTGTGTGTGAACCAGGTGTGTGTGTGTGTGTGTGTGTGTGTGTGTGTGAACCAGGTGTGTGTGTGTGTGTATGAACCAGGTGTGTGTGTATGTGTGTGTGTGTGTGAACCAGGTGTGTATGTGTGTGTGTGTGAACCAGGTGTGTGTATGTGTGTGTATGTGTGTATGAACCAGGTGTGTGTATGTGTGTGTGTGTGTGTGTGTGTGTGTGTGAACCAGGTGTGTGTGTGTGTGTGTGTGTGTGTGTGTGTGTGTGAACCAGGTGTGTGTGTGTGTGTGTGTGTGTGTGTGTGTGTGTGTGTGTGTGTGTGGGTGTGTGTGTGAACCAGGTGTGTGTGTGTATGAACCAGGTGTGTGTGTGTGTGTGTGTGTGTGTGTGTGTGTGAACCAGGTGTGTGTGTGTGTGAACCAGGTGTGTGTGTGTGTGTGTGTGTGAACCAGGTGTGTGTGTATGTGTGTGTGTGTGTGAACCAGGTGTGTATGTGTGTGTGTGTGAACCAGGTGTGTGTATGTGTGTGTATGTGTGTATGAACCAGGTGTGTGTATGTGTGTGTGTGTGTGTGTGTATGTGTGTGTGTATGAACCAGGTGTGTGTATGTGTGTGTGTATGTGTGTGTGTATGAACCAGGTGTGTGTATGTGTGAATGTGTATGTGTGTGTGTGTGTATGTGTATGTGTGTGTGTGTGTGTGAAACAGGTGTGTGTGTGTGTGTGTGTGTGTGTGTGTGTGAACCAGGTGTGTGTGTTTGTGTGAACCAGGTGTGTGTGTGTGTGTGTGTGTGTGTATGTGTATGTGTGTGTGTGTGTGTGAACCAGGTGTGTTTGTGTGTGTGTGAACCAGGTGTGTGTGTATGTGTGTGTGTGTGTGTGTGAACCAGGTGTGTGTGTATGTGTGTGTGTGTGTGTGTGAACCAGGTGTGTGTGTGTGTGTGTGTGTGTGTGTGAACCAGGTGTGAGTGTTACCTGGGACTCATACAGCCTCTCTTTGCGATTGGCCACCTCACTCCTGATGATGGTACCGATGTACTCGATGACCATGGTGCACTTCTCAATGTCTCTGGTGGCGTACAGACCCAGTCCCTTTAGCAGAGCACAAACAGGTGTACGTTTGACATGTATGCATGTCATCATTACATTTAGGAGATTTTCAAGATTTTTGAAGACCTTCCAAAATAAAATTAAGACTTTACCGCAATTAACTAATCAACTATCAAACAAAGCTATTTTTCACAGGAAGAACGAGCAAACCGCTGGCACAGAAGAACAAACACCATTTCATAAGTAGACATGTCTATTTTTTCACACCTGCAAACTCCGAGGGTGTGAAAACGGGGACGACTAGAAGTGTCAGAAGAGAAGTCAGTGTGGCAAAGACCGGCTGCTTGTAAAGGGCAGCAGACGAACAGGGAAGAAAAGGACCGGACCGGTCTGCAGATCGGTCTGGACTTCACCAGAACACATCCTGGAACCTGGGTGGTGCGTGCTTGTTTCTCTCGTTTAACAGGGCTGTAGTTGGCGGCTGAAGCTAACTGTGGCTCTGCAGGAGTGGCCTTATCACAGCCTCGCTCAGACCAAGAGTTTACTCTTCTTCTCTAACTTCAACAGAAGGCAGCTCACACACAGCTCTAGACAAGGAAAGGCTGCTCTAGGTGCTCCTGCCGCGGTGCCAACCACGCCGTGGCGCCGCGCTCCCACAGCGACTCGTGACCTACTAACAGATGGTGAACCAGATGATCACTCCTCCTTCCTCGGAAACCAGAACAGAAACTGTTCCATTCACAAGTTTGCAAGAATGAGACCATCAGATGTTTCATTCACATCAACATAAACCTTTTAGGAGCCCTCGATACCCGGCGGCAGCAGCAGTCTCACCTGGATGCGTGACCTGGCCAGGTACACGTTGCTCTTCCACTCAGCCTTCATGCGGCGGTACTGCGCTGACTTGGAGTGGCGGCCCTGATGGGCGCCAGCCACAGACTCTCCTGGAGACAGCGAGAGGACGCCGGGGACGAGACCCACGATGGAGCCGACAGAACCCTGACACCTGGGGGCGACGCTGGTCAGCAGGTAGGGCCTGAAATGGACACCATCATCATCAGACAGAAGCCTGCTGCTGGCAGTCTGGATCCTTCCCATCCAGCTAACAGAAACCAGGTAACCATGGTAACAGGGTTACCTCTTGGCCTGGCAGGCTTTGGGTTCGGAACGAGCCGAGCCTGATGGGTTGAAGGCCAGAGGCCACTCCATGAGCGGGTTCCTGCCGTAGCGGAAGGTGTAACGCTCACAGGTCTCCACACCGGGCAACTACACACACACACACACAGGGTCAATGTGAGTGTGTGAGTGTGTGTGTGTACATTTGTGTGTCTAACATACAGACTCAATGATCCGGGTCACTGCAGATGACGTCAGACCAAACAGATCTTCTCCTTTCAGGTAAACTGGAAACAACTTCAGAGTCCCACTGGAGCTCCTCATCTGGGCCACTGGTTCCAGAATCTGGTCCCACACAGCTACACACACACACACACATCAGCCTGGTGAACCTTTCCTCACCTGCCCACAGGCCACATGGTCTGTACCTTTGGGCGTGGCTCCAGTCAGGACCACGTCCTCGTGGCCTTTCTCCACCACCTTGACCTTGAAGAGCGGCCGACCCTCCTCCTCCTCGATGGAGCACACGTACTTACAGCGTCTGCAGGAAGAACATCATCACTTCCAGTTCTGACCCTGATCCCAGCCCAGCACAGACCTTCATGGGTCTACTGAAGCAGGATGGGATAACTGGACTGATGTTTAATGAGGAACCCTCCCTCACCTGTTACCTGCGTGATGTTAGGAAAACTTGGGATAACAGTGATTAATACCGTGATGAGCACAATAAGTGAACAAATACTTAAGTCTGCAGGACTCGTCTTTCATCTCTGTGAACAAGGTTCCTACAGGTTTCACCAAGATACATTCAGGACTTCTCAGGACCACTTATGAAAGCATTAGTACCTACGTCGTCACAGCCCTACCAGCAGATCCATAACACAGTAGGGCTGGGTACAGCAGCCAGGTGTCTGGTTTGATCACATCACTCCTGTTCTGGCTGCCTGTGGGCTTTTAATGGCTTTGCATGGACCGGCTCCAGCTCATCTGATGGAGCTGGTCCGCTCTGAGAGCCGGTTGCTGCTGATGGCTCCTGGAGCTCGGCTAAAGACGAGAGGGGATAGGGCGTTCTCTGCACTAATGTTAACAACCACTCGTCAAACTTCAAGAATTTTAAAGGAATTATTTCAGATTCCTAAACTTAAAGAGCTTTAAAGAGCAAGTCACCCCCTACCAGAGTCTTATTCCACTCCCACTTCCTGTGGGACAAATGCTGTTGCCTGGCAGACCGAGAGGGCGGAGCCGCTAACAAGCACCCACACAGGCTCACAATGACATTGTGGCATCATAACGTACCAGATAACATCATAGTGTACTTCTTAGCCAATAGCAATGGCAGATTTATATTTAAATGCTGTGCAGGGGTTTTACCTGAAGAGGGCGCCACACTGGCAGTTTTAGGCAGAATATTTTAGTTTTAACCAAGATATAATTATTGAGTACACGTGTCTGCAGCTCGATTACACTCATTTATATGGTTTATCAGCAAAGGGTGACTTGCTCTTTAAGATTGCGTAAGACCCCGCGGGAACCCTGTGTGTATTTATACTTCAGACACACCACTCCGTCCTCGATCATTAGTATCAACACAGCAAAGGAAGCCAAGCATTAGCATGTTTAGCAAAACATGATTAATTTGAATATGTTGGAGCTACTTCAAACACCAGGACTACGCTGCAGAACATCTAGAGCTGAACAGTTACTACTCCTACCGACCAGCTGCTCAGTTCCGAAGCTCCTTGTGTTCATCGGTATCATAGCTTTAGCCCAATAACAGGAAGGTGCATCCATCATTTCTTTGACAGTTTCTCATAAGGAGGTCCAACAAACCCTGATAGATGGACATCTGGTAGGCTGTTGTCCTACTTGTCCCAACGGCAGAGACTTTGGGTTTGCTAACACTAGCTTTCTGGAGTCCGTACAGTGGTTTGGGGGTGACAACGAAGATATGTCTTGTTTCACCTCGTGGTTGTCGGCATGTCTAGCGACGTGCTTGTGTTTGTTGAACATCATCTGTCTTGTAACCAAAGAATACCGTTTCAAACATGAGTGACGCTCAGCCATAGCAACGATCTCTACGCTAACTCAGGTGTTTGCTAGCCATCCAGATTACGCGCCGTCTGCTTAGGGGCGGCATCTAACCTATAAGAACCCACCCGATTGGCCGAATGGTTGAAGATTTGTCAAGAACTTCATGCTTCTGTTTGATTGACAAAATGCATTATGTGTTGCATGTTGTCACATTTGAGCTGACCATTTATTGCGGTTTTAATGCATTTTCTGCGATATGCGTGTTGCGCGATGACGATACATTTGTGTAACGTGCAGAAATGGTCAGTTTTCACCTACATATTGACCTACATGCCACCGGTCACCTACAGACCTAATTTCATCCTCTAAGGTGGATTTTACATCCTATCTTCCAACAAGCCAGAAGGGCACTGCAGTGCTTGCTGACATTTCAGGGGGAACAAGATGTCAGCCTATGCTGCCAAACAAAGCCTTCATTTGATAAGACTGCAGGATTGCTCACTCTCATGAAAGATGAACTTTTACAACTCATAAGTTAAATAATCATTAAATAATCATATGGTTGAAGAATAATAACAACAATGTTTTGATTAATCTGTGCTTAAATTACTGAGGTTGAAATGAATATTATTCTGTTATGATCAGTAAAGTTCGATTTAACAAGTGAATCACTATCACCGACAGCTCACACACTCAGACACGTGACGATGACAAGGTTAAGCTAATATCCTGACACATCGCTTTCTGTTCCACAAATCAGAACTCCTGTATCGGACGCATGGCGTGTTTTCTGAGGTTTGTTGGTAAAACCCTTTTTACATATCAAATTGTGATTTGTAAGTAAATCAAAATATGACGATTATTAAAACAGAGCTCACTTCACCATGAGTCAGTTCTTGTTCTTGTGAGTTCTTGAGAAAGCTTCGGACCGGCCATCCGAGGCAAAACCTCTTCAACCTAGAGCATCTTTTGACAAGCTGTCAAAAACCTGTTCAAACTACAGCTGACCGCAAACGGTTCCTTCAGAATAAAGCTGAACCAACTTCAACTTCTTAAGAGTTATTCCTAAGACGCAAATAACAACTGTCGTGACCTGAAGACATCCCAAGACCGGTCTAGTCGGCACTGCGGTTGCTTCTATGGACTTCAGTACCTCTGGGGTACCCGGACCTCAACATTCCGGATCTACCATGGGGGCCTTCTATCAGACCAAATTCACTCCCACTCAGTTTCTCCAGATACGAAGGTTCTGCTAACATCACATTCACACATCCTCACACCTCACAGTCCATCCACTTAGATCCATTCATCACATAAAGTGTTGTTGTTGTCATGTTTTTAATTGTTTAGAAAAGACATTCTTACTTTTTATAAACCTGACTGTCTGAATTAATACGAAGTGTGTTTGATCCCTGAAAAAGCAAAAGAATCCTACAATCTTCTGATTAACATTCAAAGACCAACCAGAGTGATACTCTATATTTATATAGAATATAAGTAAAGGTAATATATTATGCTTAAAAGCAACAACCCTACATTTGCGATGTATTGTTCAGCCCTACTAACTACCCATCAGAACCAAACCAAGACACCAGGATGTCTTCCTGGCTTCAGTTTTACCACTAAATCAAAGACGAGACTCATCACCTGTTGCTGTGGCGCATGCTCCAGTAGAAGCGGTTGGCATGGTAACCAACAGGGAAGATGGCCATCTGGTTGTGGAAGGAGCTCATCTGCTGTGGCAGCAGCCTTCCGACAGCCCGGAACAGCAGACTTCCAACCCGGAACGTGTGCTGCCTCTCGCCACGCTGCACCACGGCAGCGATCTGCCGCGCCTCATCCCGCTGAACAAAAACCCGCCGGAAAACCGCAAAGCAGCGCAACTCCGAATCATACGGGTCACGGAAAGGCACCGGGTCAGAGATCGGACCGGGAGTGGAGGATGGAGAGCAGCTGGAAGACCTGTCGCCGCTGAAAGGGAGACAGCGGGGCTTGTGGACGTGGCACAGCATGGTCTTGTCCTGGGGAGGGCATTAGGGTTATTCTGTGTAGTCCTGTGTATACCCTCATGTACTAGTGTGTAATCATGTGTATACTAGTGTGTACCCTCATGTACTAGTGTGTAATCATGTGTATACTAGTGTGTACCCTCATGTACTAGTGTGTAATCATGTGTAGCACATGTGTATACTAGTATATACCCTTGTGTACTAGTGTATACCCTCATGTACTAGTGTGTAGTCCTGTGTATACTAGTGTGTACCCTCATGTACTAGTGTGTAATCATGTGTATACTAGTGTGTACCCTCATGTACTAGTGTGTAATCATGTGTAGCACATGTGTATACTAGTATATACCCTTGTGTACTAGTGTATACCCTCATGTACTAGTGTGTAGTCCTGTGTATACTAGTGTGTACCCTCATGTACTAGTGTGTAATCATGTGTATACTAGTGTGTACCCTCATGTACTAGTGTGTAATTATGTGTATACTAGTGTGTACCCTCGAGCACTAGTGTGTAGGGTTGTCACGGTATGAAAATGTAACCTCACGGTTATTGTGACCAAAATTATCACGGTTTTCGGTATTATCGCGGTATTTTTTAAACGGTGTTGCACATGTTCAGAAAGCATTGATAGTCCTGTTCTACACAAACTGAAATAGTTCTGAAAAGGTTTAACAGTGTTTATTAAAGCTAAAATAACACAAAGCCTTAGCAAAAGTGCAACTTTTCACAAGTAAAGGAACAAATAGCTTCTTTTTCTGGAACGTGTTACAGTAGTCAGTGCAGGTTTAAATTATACAAATCCAAACATTCAAAACATAAACAATATGTAAACAAATCAAAGAAACACCACTTGTTTTCTCATATACTTGTTTTCTTCATTATCAAAATGAAAATCTAAAACTCCAGTCCACACTTGACTTGAGCACTGTACAAGTCAACCTTAAGAAATATGTATTTAAAATAAATAGCCACTTTAAACAAATGACTAAAATAACTACTACACTATGTAATCAAATCCAAATGTTCAAGTATAAATGGCATTGAATAAGTAAACAAATCCATGACAAGGAACTAATCGTATATTTCTCTTCATCATCAACAAATAAGATGCTTCATCCAGCAACAGGGTGTCCGTGACACGGTTTAAATGCTGGCAGAGGACGCTGCGGCTGCAGTTTATAGTGACTCGTTGCATTCTCCCTCAACCAAAAGTCCTCGCGTCATGCATTTAAGCTAAAATGCTAATGTTAGCTTACCTTGCACTGGCTGTAGAGACGTGGGTGATCGTCACACAGATGTGCCATGAGATTCGAAGTGTTGCTGCCTTTTGCAGACACTTGTTTCCTGCACGTTCTGCAAACGGGATAGCCGTCTTCTATTAACTGTCCCTCAGCATTTTTCAGAAATCCAAAATATGCCCATACTTCCGATTTAGTCTTCTTTGAGGGCTGATGGATGTCCTGGGCGCTGCCGTCTCCTCCTTCGGCCATTATTTCAGCTTCAAAGTTTTGGTGCCGTTGCAAACTAAAAAGTACGTGTGCGCGCCGCGGGAACTTCAGCTGAAGCGACGGTGGTTGGTAAGGGTCACCGCGCTGAAACCGCGGCCACGGTAAACCCACCGAGATAATTTAGTTTTTTAAAAACTGGACGGTTATTTTTATTGTCAACTTTTTTACCGGGGTTTACCGCTATACCGGTTACCGTGACAACCCTACTAGTGTGTAATCATGTGTAGCACATGTGTATACTAGTATATACCCTTGTGTACTAGTGTATACCCTCATGTACTAGTGTGTAGTCCTGTGTATACTAGTGTGTACCCTCATGTACTAGTGTGTACCCTCATGTACTAGTGTGTAATCATGTGTATACTAGTGTGTACCCTCATGTACTAGTGTGTACCCTCATGTACTAGTGTGTAGTCCTGTGTATACTAGTGTGTACCCTCATGTACTAGTGTGTACCCTCATGTGCTAGTGTGTAATCATGTGTATACTAGTGTGTACCCTCATGTACTAGTGTGTACCCTCATGTACTAGTGTGTAGTCCTGTGTATACTAGTGTGTACCCTCGTGTGTAGCACATAGGTAGACTAGTGTGCACTCTCATGTACTAGTGTGTACCCTCGTGTACTAGTGTGTAATCGTGTGTAGCACATGTGTAAACTAGTGTGTACTCTCATGTACTAGTGTGTAGTCCTGTGTATACTAGTGTGTACCCTCATGTACTAGTGTGTAGTCCTGTGTATACTAGTGTGTACCCTCGTGTGTAGCACATAGGTAGACTAGTGTGCACTCTCATGTACTAGTGTGTACCCTCGTGTACTAGTGTGTAATCGTGTGTAGCACATGTGTAAACTAGTGTGTACTCTCATGTACTAGTGTGTAGTCCTGTGCATACTAGTGTGTACCCTCATGTACTAGTGTGTAGTCCTGTGTATACTAGTGTGTACCCTCATGTACTAGTGTGTAGTCCTGTGTATACTAGTGTTTACCCTCATGTACTAGTGTGTAATCATGTGTAGCACATGTGTAAACTAGAGTGTACCCTCATGTACTAGTGTGTAGTCCTGTGTATACTAGTGTGTACCCTCATGTACTAGTGTGTACCCTCATGTACTAGTGTGTAGTCCTGTGTATACTAGTGTGTACCCTTATGTACTAGTGTGTAGTCTTGTGTATACTAGTGTGTACCCTCATGTACTAGTGTGTAATCGTGTGTAGCACAGGTATATACTAGTGTGTACCCTCGTGTACTAGTGTGTAATCATGTGTATACCAGTGTGTACCCTCGTGTACTAGTGTGTAATCATGTGTATACTAGTGTGTACCCTCGTGTACTAGTGTGTAATCATGTGTATACTAGTGTGTACCCTCGTGTACTAGTGTGTACCCTCGTGCACTAGTGTGTAATCGTGTGTAGCACATGTGTAAACTAGTGTGCACCCTCATGTACTAGTAAGTACCCTTGTGTACTAGTGTGTAATTGTATGTAGCACATGTGTATACAGGTGTGCACTCTCATGTACTAGTAAGTACCCTTATGTACTAGTGTGTAATTGTATGTAGCACATGTGTATACTAGTGTGTACTCTCATGTACTAGTGTGTACTCTCATGTACTAGTGTGTACTCTCATGTACTAGTGTGTACTCTCATGTACTAGTGTGTACTCTCATGTACTAGTGTGTAATTGTATGTAGCACATGTGTATACTAGTGTGTACTCTCATGTACTAGTGTGTACTCTCATGTACTAGTGTGTACTCTCATGTACTAGTGTGTACTCGCGTGTTACCTTGAAGAAGGTGCAGTGAGCCTGCAGGGCACAGGTGAAGTGGTAGGTGTTGGTGCAGCGGAGCCGGTTACAGCCGGTCGTGGCGCCGGTTTTTTGGCAGTGAACGCAGCGCAGCGTGAGGCCCCGCCTCAGAGCCAGCTCCACGTTGATCAGGGCCCCTGCTTGGGTCTCGTAGACCTCGCTGGACCACAACGCACAGTTCAAGTGCACCTGGAGCACAGAGGAGCAGAGGGTCAGTCTGCGGACCGGGACCGAGACCGGAGGCACGGGTGTTGCTGGGCACTCACCCACAAGTCCAGGTCCAGGTTCAGGAGCCGGGCCGGGCCATCTGTCTGCCCGTCTCCCTGCTGGTGGCAGAAGCAGCACTTCCGCTGGTCTTTAGGTAGCGGGTCAGGACGGAGACATGTCCCCAGCTTCTTTAACAAGTGGTCCACCTCCTCCTCCGTTGGCACAGCGACCGCCTCATTAGGGAGACACGGACCCCTGAGGAGCAGGAAAACAGAAACCGCTCAGGCGTTTGGACATGTAGGACCCACTCTACGTGACCATGGATCTAAGCCCAAGAAGAAGGATCCTCTCAGGAACCAGAACCAGTTCTGGGTTCTCAGTAGTCGTTGTGATGTCCTCCAACCTGCTGAGTGTGATGCTGACGCTCCAGCGTCTCCAGCGGGAACTCCTCATTCTTTTCCCGTGTCGAGAAAACGGAGAGTCGTCTCCACCTGGCATGGCCCGGGGGTGGGGTTTCAACTTCACCTTCACCTGCAACCAATCAGAGTTAAATCAGCTGGTCAGGGGTCGCCCATGTGCTAAAGCAGTGGCTCCTCCCACCTTAAGGCTGTCCATGTGGGGCCTGGTCTCCATGGCGACAGCATAAGCAGGGGGGAATGTGAGGGGCGGGGAGGAGGAGGACGGGGGAGGAGTAGGCGTGTGAGTGAGGGAGTGGACCGTGATGGAGGACATGTTGTTGGTGTACTGGTGCTGCGTTCTGCTGGGGGGAACCTGCTCAGATCCGGGGTCCGTGGTCTGAGGACAAACAGGGAGGTGCATTACCATAAATGTACCACGCAGAGAGCAGCAGGTAATCACACAGGTGTGCAGCATCACCTTGCATCCTGTAGACTGGTTCTGATGCTCGGACTGGTACAGAGCCAAGCAGCTGGGACTGCAGAAGACCAGGCTGGGTCCGGTCCTGGACTCCCCTCCCTGTAGAACACAAACACGGTCATTTCTGGTGTAATGCTGCAGCTTTAGTAGCTCGGGCTCACCGGGTCGTACCTGTTTAAGGTGGACTGCATTCCGCAGCAGCGCCTTGCAGCGGCAGCAGAACTGGGACTGGTTTCCTGCAGCAGGGGGCGCTCTCTGCGGTCCTCTGGGACCAGAATCCTGGAAACCCATTAGAGACCCTGTGATTATGACTCAACACCAGGCAGACACCTGCTCCAGAAGGGTGGGTTCTGGTAAAATGATACCTGCATCAGCGGCACACGGACTCCAGCCAGCAGGGCCAAAGAGCTCTGCTCGGGGCCCGTGGCTCGGCTCAGCTGGTAAGTGAGGGGTCCGGGGACCCGCAGCAGCGTGGCCACCGCAGCCATCACACCCGCCACGTTCTGCAAGCACAATGTGATGTCATCAAGAGGGAGGAGCTATAAAGTCTCCACACAGAGAGAGAGAGGGAAATACCTGAGCAGCAACTGGGTTCACAGTTATCGCTATGGTAACAAGGTCTCTATTAGGGCAGGAAGGATGCACAGGGTGTTTTGGCTCCGCCTTCACTTCCTGTTTCACAGCAGAGCCTGAAGGCAGGCGCACGCACGCGCACACACACACACACACACACACACACACACACACACACACACACACACACACACACACACACACACACACACACACACACACACACACACACACACACACACACACACAGAGAGAGTAAACAGCCGATCATCAGATGGAAACCATGAGGACGAAGTCCAGGTGAGGCTGCTGCTGACTAACCTTTCCCCCAGGCGCAGGGCATGATGGGTAATGTGGGGGATGGGCAGGGTGAGCACGGCTCCAGCTTGATGGAGGACAGGTCGGGGTACCTGCTGACCTCCATGTCCACCACGCTCTCAGGGGACGAAGACGGCACATAGCCATCGGGGCTGTCGAGCTCCTCTGTGCTTTGAACCCTGAGAAAACCATCAAAGAAGAAAAAATGTACAGGTGAGCTGAAACAGGTGAAAGCGCTGCTGTGTGAGTGGGTGGAGCTTACCTGAGCTCCTCCAGGTTGTTGTGGGGAGGGGTTGGCAAAGAGGCGGGGACATCAACTGCCTTAGAGATGTGCCTAAGATGCTGAAGCTCCTCCTCCTTATGTTTGGGTGCCGACACACCTTTGACTGAGGTACAAACAGGTGTCACTTCCACAGGTAAACGCTCTACGAGCCTTTCAGACACAGCAGAGGGATTAGGACCCTCACCTTCCTGCTCACAGATGTCCTTCCTGGTCATCTCCTCTGTTGTGGCAAAGCCATTCACCAGCTTCTGTCTGGCCACAGGTGGAGGTGTGGGGGGAAGGGAAGCCGGCGGCGTTGGGGGGTTGATGAGGTTATTCTGCTGGAGGAGGGGACACACAGGAGGTGAAGGACTCAGGCGATGGGTTAGAGTTACCTGTGGACCTGCAGCAGTACCTTGAAGATGAGCTGGGAGTAGTAGTCCGACGTTCCGTCCAGAGACGCGTTCCCGAAGGAGCCACTCAGTCTGGAATCTCTGCCCAGAGACGAGCTGCCGTACGGGGGGAAGAGGCTCAAATCCACGGCCAACACCGGCTCCATGAGGGGCAGGATGGACAGCTGGGGGAGATCCACACATAAACCCATACAGTAGCACATGAGGGCTGCTCTGCTGTAGCTGCTGCCCGTGACACCAAGCTATGGCTAGCAGCACTCCATCATGTACGATGGCCCAGTCCCAGAAACGCTCAGCAACAGCCTCACCGCTTTAGCCTCTGACCCACCAAAAGGTTCAGGATGGGAGGTGAGGGAGAACCTCGGCACTAAAGCAAAGTCCCATTAATCCTCACATCCTGGTGAAAGTCATCTCCACATGTCCCCGTGAGGAGCGGTGAGCTGCACCTGTGGCTGCACTCTGGGCTATCCGGTGGGTTATTAAGAGGTGACAGGTCTTTGGTCTGACCTGACCGGGACTTGAACCGCCATCTCCGTCCCACTAAGAAAGCAGCTGGATTAGCAGCTATACCGGCTCGAGTCGGCAGATGAGAGACGTGTGGACTTTACAGTAACGATGTGTGTTTCTGTCAGTAAAACATCAACTAGCCGGGGGTGGGCCGGCTGTGAACCACTCAGCGGGAGCCGGAGATCACGTTCTGATGACGCCCACAGGACCACATCATCTGCAAAAAGCAGCGACCCGACCCTCAGAGGGAGCAATGTGGTGCTAACCAGCGGGCCCTCCCTTCCACCGGTTTGGCTAACGGGCGCTCTCTCTGTAGCAGATGAGCTACAAGCTAATGTTAACCACCCGCGTGGATCCAGGACCGCTCAGTCCTAGCATCTACAGAGACCTGGTTACAGGATGTGATGACTGGCTACAGAGAGATGCTGTTAACCCACATGCCCAGCTCACAGGTAAACAACATGGCGGCGGAGCACGTCTACATAAACACCCAGTGGTGCTCCACTGCTGTGGTGAGGGAACAGCGACGCTCTACAGACATGGAACTCTTGGTCGTTTTATCTCCTGCTGGTCTACGTTCATCCAGCTGGTCTAACCCTAACCCTAACCCTAACCAGGCTCCGCCTCCTCACTGAAAGACACACCAGTGAGATGAGGAGGTCTTTGAAGAACTCCGCCCACCAACCCATGATGTCACCAGTGACAGTGCTCAAGCCCCATCAGAGGGTAACAGGTAGAAAAGGTGATGTGTCTTCACCTGTCTCAGGTGAGCTATGAATGGGTCAGAGGAGAGGAGGATTTTCTCCTCCTCCATCTCCTCCATCTCCTCCTCCCGCTTCCTCCTCTTGCATTTGGGTGGAGCTCTGTCAGGATGGGCCAGCCTCTTGCAGCGCTGAGTCTTCTTCCTGTCTGGACCAGGACCGGTCATCACCTGGATGACACAGGTCACCACATCATCAGTTCTCATGCTGCTCAGTACCTGATACAACTCGACTGCCTACCCACCATGTTGCCATGGGAACCCGGTTCCTCCTCCTCGGACCGCAAGCTGTCGCTGGACAGCTGGCGGTGAGCGATGGGGTGGGCTTGTCTGGCAGCTGTGAGTGCAGTCAGAGGGGAAGTCTTGTCCTTCAGCAGGTGTCTGAGCAGCTCCTTACCCACATCTCCACTCTGAAGGGGAGAGGAGGCGGCCCCATCCACCTCCATCTTCACCATGCCTCCTCCACAGGACCCCGCCTCCACCTGTTCCACCTGCAGGAAGGAAGAGGATAAACCCTGAAGCAGGTCAGATCCGTCCGCTGAGCTTCAGCAGATGGACCTGATGAAAACACAAACCTTGACCTCCAGCTGAGCTGCAGACCGGGGCCCTCTCTGGCCCTCCAGGTCCAGGACGGGGCCTCTCACGGACAGCTGCCTCTCCAGCTCAGACACTGGAGCCAGACCAGAGAAAGACAAGTCCAGCTGGTGGGTCGGCAAGGAGCCGGAGGTCTCGGACACTGCTGGAGTGGGTGGGGCTGTGATGTCAGAGTGTGGCGACAGCGGCGTTGTGGCCCCTCCTCCTGCATCGTCTCCATCCCTTCTCCTGCTCTTCTTTGGTTTGCCATCAAGGACGATGTCAGAGTAGAGCTGGAGATGCGAGGAAGAGCCTCCAGAGGAGGCACAAGGAAATGAGGAGGACAGAGGTGAGGAAGAGTTGGACTCGTGTCCCAACCGTTGACCCGGACCTCCTGGACACGCTGGCTTCGGCTTGGTCTGGAGGGCAGAGCCTGGCTCCACCACGGCCCCAGGAAGCAGTCCAGGAGCAGGATACAGGGGCGCACCTGTGGAGCCGTGATGGAGGCTTGCTGAAGAGGGGAAGGGTGCTCCCATCAGGGTCTGGACCTGGGTTGGAGGTCTGGAGGCTGAGGAGGACTGCAGGAAGTCCATCCTAACGAGTGCTCCAGAACCGGGTCCTGGTGTTTGAGTGACTCGAGACACAGCCCCAGCTGAAGGTGGACCTGTTGCTCCAGACTCGGGGCCCAAAGACACCCCCAAGAGGTCCTGCTGCACCAGTCTCTGTTGTAGGGCGCGATGACGCTCCACCTGAAAACACAACAGGAAGTTCTTCAGCTGAAGCTCAGGGTCGATGTTTCAGTTCTAGTCAGAACCCGACTGACACCGTTAGAACACCCGACCCAGTCCCAGAGGTGGGAGCTGAACCTGTACTGCAGGAGGGTCTGGACCGGGCTTTACCTCCTGCATGAGCTGAACTCTCTGACGTTCCTGCTGCTCTCTCAGGCGCTCCCTCCTTTCCCGCTCCTGGAAGCCCTCGCTGAACGGGTTGTTGTCATCGAACTTGACCTGAGGAGGTGAGAGGAGAGCTGGATGATCGGACCTCCAGAACCAGAACCTCTAATAAAAGCTGAGGAGAAACCGGACTCTGGGTCAGCTCAGATCTACCTTCAACATTACCTGAGGTGTTAATGTGGCTCCATCTGCTGAAGGGCCCCGTGGATCCGTAGGGAAGGCTGCGAGGGCCGGAACCACAGATGGGGGGTTCTGGGGATCCTGAAGGTTATTAGGAAGGGCAGGGGGGGGCCTCTGCCCCATGGGACCAGGAGCTCCAACTCCTGAGGTCCAGCCAGCGTTTGGAGTAAAGGCTGCGGCAGGGCGGTCCGGTTGGTGCTGCAGGGGCACCATGGGGGCAGCCAAAGGGTTCTTAGGAGGCTGTGCAGGAGGGTTCGGGTGGGGCTGGGGGAGGGGCTTCTGTGGAGGCATCTGCTGGAGCCTCAGCTGCTGCTTGTTCCTGTAGTCATCAATCAGCTCAGAGTGGTCCTTCTGCTGCTTCCGGATCTGATCAAACACAAACCGGGTCAGCTTTTAAAGCTTCTCGTTACCTCTGTGCTCGACCATTTACCCTGGCTCATCCCTTTGGTTATGCGGACATACCGGGTTATGCTTTCAATCAGCAGAGCCCGATGAGCTGCTGCACAGCGATTCAACCACTGAATCAGGTGTGCTGGAGCAGAGAAACCACTAAAACGTGCTGAATAGCGGCCCTCCAGGCCCTGATTTAGCGATTCCTATTGACCCTTTGCACGTGACGTCACGCCACTCATGTGACCGCCCCCTCGTCATGATGGACGGCATACAGACCGTTTACACCCGTAGGAACTCCAGTGAAGCCAGTGGAAACGAGCCAGTTTGTAGCCTTCTATGGTTTATTGAGTTGATTTGACGGTAAAATGGTTTCAGCTGCGAGGGCGGCTGCACCGAGACACGAGGACGTAAACTCAACTCGTTTTTTCTTCTTAATAACTTCGATGGAGACTGAGGACGGAGATGAACTGCAGCGTCAAGCGGGCTAGCAGCCCTCAGATATGCAGCGAGCGTGTTTTTAGCGGGTAAGATTAACGTTATTCCACGAGGAAGACGGGGACAGGGATACATGTTTATACTGGTTACTGATGATCCTGATGGACGGGTGTTTCACCACGGAGGCTGCGCTCCGTCCACTGTAGCGTAAAGCCAGACAATTATTAACAATATTAAAGCTCCGATGGATGCTTACGTGTGTTAAAATGACGTTATTTATTTATTTATATGAGCGTCGGCGTTCAGAGAGCGTCTCATTCCGGTGTGAGAGCAGCAGCTGGACCCGGTAGCACCACCAGTGAAACGCTGTTTACAACATAAAGTTATAGATCCAGAGGGGTGAACTTAGGCAAAGTCAGCAACACGTTTACATCGGTGAACAGCTGCAGAGAGACCGTAAGCTAACGCTGGTAAGCTAGTTAGCATACCGCTAGATGCGCTGCTTCTGATAACTGAACTGGGCGTGGACCAGTGGAAGGAACGCTGGAGGAGTTCTGTTTTTGTTTTGATCGCAAAAACAAGTTCAGCCTCTACTTTTCCCTTTGTTCAGTCATCCTGTCGCTCACTGTTTACACGCTTTTGTCCTCCAGCATGGTGGACCCACGTGATTAGGTGACGTCGGTGCAGAGGGTCAACTGGACCGCGGTCTGGATGAAGACATGAGACCCAAGCGAAGGTGATTACCTGCTCTAGCTGCTTCTGAACCGCCCCCTGCTGCTCACTGATGGAGCGGAGCTGGGCAGCGTCTTCCTCTGCGAAGGCTCGGCCCGCCCTCTTGGCCGTCCTCTGCTTGGCCGACAGAGCCTTCTTGGCCTTCCTGTGGGCAGCCAGCTGGTCCTCCAGGAGGTGCTGTTGCATCTGCAGGAGCTGCTGTGTCTCTCCGAGCCACTCCTCGTACTGATGGCGCTGAGACTCATCTGGAAGAACGAGAGGATGACATGTCAGGCGGGAGCAGGTTTCCAGGACCGGCTGAGACGGATACTCACTGGAGAAGCTAGCTCCGAAGCTCGGAGGGTTGCGGCGCACCACATGAGGACTTATCTTCTTCTCCTGAAGAGAGGAGACATTCAGGCTCCAGAACACAACCAAGACCTACCTGTGTGTCATCAGTACCTGTCCAGCTGGTGGGGGGGGCGGAGGAGGAGCCTCGGGGCTTGGGTCACCAGGAACATGCTGGAACCTGAAACAGCAGGTGGTGAGGAACCGAGTCCAGGAGAACCATCATGAGAAGCTCAGGTGAGATCAGTACCTGCTGATGGTCATGGGGCCCAGGCCCAGGTTCCCCTGACTCATCACCTTGTTAATCCCCTTCAGAGCCACCATCTTGGCTTTCATGATCGGGTCTGGGATGGAGTCAAAGTCTATGAGACACACACGCACACACACACGCACGCACGCACGCACGCACGCACGCACGCACGCACGCACGCACGCACGCACGCACGCACGCACGCACGCACGCACGCACGCACGCACGCACACACGCACACACACACACACACACACACACACACACACACACACACACACACACACACACACACACACACACACACACACACACACACACACACACACTTGTCAGCGAGTCTACAGGGCTCTACTGAAGGTAAGTGGACTTGTGTGGCTTCTTCTGCTGCGAGGACCTCCGTTAATCCTGCCTGGATTACGGGAGCATCCAGCTTAGACAGTCAGGACTGACAAGAGCTCCCGCAGAAGCAAAACGTGTTGAAGAAACCAAAGAAGTCCAGTTACCTTCAGTAGAACCTCTCTGGACCACCATGCCCTGGATGAGTGAGAACCTTCACCAGCACAGTTCTGGAGGAGCTCGACCTAAACTTCTATGTAAGCGGGGGTGCGTGGCTGTAGGGTTCTGGTCTTACCCACGCTGGAGAGGTCAGACTCCGAACCGGAACGCTGTCGGATCAGAGCTTGCATCTGTTTCTGCTGCTGCTGCTCCTGGCGCTCCTTGTCCAGCAGGTCCTGAATGAGGAGTGGTTGCTCCACCAGGAGCAGGGGCCTGGACTTGTTGTGGTTCTGGGTGGAGGTGCCTGGATGTGGAGACTCGGTCCTGGAGTTCTGGTGACTCGGCTGAGGGGGAGGAGTCGCGCTTGGAGGATTAGAGCTGGAAGTGGGTCCAAACAGTCTCTGGTGTTGCTGGAAGACAGACTGTTGCCCTGGAGAGAGAGGAGACGGGTTCTGCGGGGGACTGTCCTGTCTCCACTGGGGGGGGGGGGTTCCTTACCTGCAGATGTGGGGGAGTGGGTCCTGGGAGCCTGGTCCTGTGTGGCCCGAACAGCACCTGCAGCAGAAGCAGAACCCTCCAGCTGCTCCTGGAGGAGTAGAGGTTACTCCTCATGCATAAACTCATGACCTCCATCTGAGAACAGAGGACGGTCTCACCTTCAGGACACCTGGAGCAGGAGCTTCACAGGGATGGCTGCCACCTTCTGGCTTCACAGCGTCACTCACTTCCTGTTTCACCTGGTCTCCCTGGTGGGAGTGGCTATCCATCTTCTTAGAGGCTCCGCCTCCGTCCTTGTCCTCTGGATCGCCCAGGTCCAGCTCTTCATTAAACATGTCCTTCTTGTCCTCCAGGTTGAGTTCTGGATCAGCGTAGGCGATCAAGTCGAACTTCCCTGACAACAGGAAGTCATCCAGGTGGAGGTCCAGGTCTTCTTTACCTGAGACAGAATCACCTCCTTCATCAAACGGACGCAGACTAAACAAAGAACAGATTCTGAACCCTTCCTACCATCGTCTGGGTCCAAATTGAGGTTCAGGTCCACCAGGTCCTTCACCTCCACGTCCTCTAGGTCCTTCACAGCAGAGTCCTCCCCCTCCAGATGCTCCTCCATCCCATCAGGACCCGGCTGCGCCACCTCGCTGCTGTGGGTCAGTACCGCCTGGGGCCCCAGCGAGGACACGCCCGTCCCGGCCGGGCCCAGGTGAACGGAGGCGGGCTGGGTCGGATGCAGCAGCGGGACGTCTGGATCCGGCAGAGGGAAGGGCATCCTGAGGCGGCTCTCTGGACCGCGGTGTCGGAGCTCGATGTAGGGCGTGACGCTGTGCTGCCGGACAGACGGGGGACGCGGGAGGAAGGGCTGAGGGACACCTGGAGGAGACAGAAGGGGACAGATGCAAAACCCAAACTGAAAGCCAGCTTCAGCGCCAGCCGAGACGGGTCCGTCCGAACCTGACAGCATGTGTGCATTAGGGGGCATCACGGGCCGGATGCAGGAGAACGCCGAGGGAACCGGCCTCCTCATCTGGACCGGGTTTCCTTCCACTGAACCAACAACAGGACCAGGCGGCGGGCCCTGAGGAGGAGCAGGAGGAACACCAAACCTAGACAAGAGAGGAGCAGTGAGAGGAACCAGTGTGACGGACATGTCGGGTCTGGACTGCGTTCTGGTGTTTGTCTCACCTCACAGCCATCCCCCGGACACCCAGGTCCGGAGGACGGTTCTGTCTGGGGACGGCAGCCTCAGCGCGGGGGAAAGCTCTGTGCTGCTCCACTGGGAAACATCCAGGAAACCCGGGAGCAGGAGGTCGAACAGTCCCAGGGTACGGGGGAGGAGGACGCCCAAAGGAATCAGCTGAAGGAGCAGAGGAGTCCTCTGGGAGCCAGCTGTGCAGAGCAGCAGCAGGTCCAGATGTGGGCTCCTGCAGAACCTTCTCCTGGCGCTGGATGTTCTTCTGGTGCTGCTGCCGGAGAATATGCTGCCGGAGCCACTGGCGCTGCAGAGGAGCATCAGTAACACCTCACACGTCCACCACCAAACCAAACACTCAGCAACACCTGTCCTACTCCTACCTGTCTCAGTCTCTCCTCCGAGTCCCCGGCCTGAGGCAACACGCTGATAGCTCCTTCTAAAGAGGACCCGCCCAGAGCTACTTGGTCACTGGTCTTCTCCAGCTGTGGAGCGCCTGGGGCCAGATGACCCACGGAGTGAGCGGAGAAGCTGGCCTCCTCAGACATCCCGGGATGCTTCTGGCTGCTGCTGGTTCTGGGAAACAAGTCCTGCTGTTGTCTTGGAGAGGGCTGGCTGAAGGTCCCCACCTCGGCTGAAGGTCCAGAAGCCAGAGGAGAAGAAGATGACGTGGGCTGGGTCAACGACTCGTGGGCCTTTAGGATCCGGGGGGTGGAGGGCTGTTGGAGGTAGGGGTCAGGGGAGGGCCGGGCCACCCCCGGGGAGCAAGGGAATCGCTCGGTGGGGAGGGGCGTCCCGGGGTTGGAGGCGTAGGAGTCCGCTGGCTGGTGGGATGGAGACGGGCGCCGGCTGGAAGGCTGCTGGTTGTACTGGTCCGGCCTCAGTAAGGGTGGGGTGGTGTGGTAGGCCGAGTCCTGGTGGGAGCGTGGAGTCCCGGGGGTCTGAGGGTTACTGTAGGGGTCAGGGGAGGGCCGAGAGCTACGAGGAGACTGCGGCGGGAGAGGGTCAGGGGTCTGAGCATAGGGGCTGCGGTGGGGGGAGCCCAGGCTGGACAGCGGGCTGGAGGGAAAGGAGGGCTCCAGGGAGAACCCCAGATCAGGGGGTCTGGACAGCTCCCTCCTCCCTCCTCCTCCCACCTCCTGCTGCGGTGGCATGGGGGCTTTAAACACACCACCCTGAACCAGAGCAGACTCAGGAGCCCGCAGGGTGGTCCTCTGGTAGGTCTCAGCTAGTCTGAGTCCAGCAGGTTTGATGGAAAGGTCAGGGGCGGAGCCAGAGAGGGGGCCTGTGATCCCAACCCGGTTCTGCTGCAGGCCTGCAGGGAGAAGACAGGAGGAGGTGTTACCAGGAGGAGAACGCAGGAGAAAATAGTGAAGAAGAGGAGGAGCTACCTGGATGAGAGGTATCAAAGCTTTTAAAATCTGGAGACGGCACAGGTGAGCCCAGTGCATCGTGGGCCGGCGAGGAGCTGAGGGAGGGGAGGCGCTGCTGCGGTAAAGCTGAGGTACTTCCTGATTGGGAGGAGGAAGAACGAGGAGTCCCCACACCTTTACTGTAGGGATCCCATGGAGAAGAGGGGCGTGAGGAGGGTGGGGAAAACATCAGGGGAGACGATGGAGGCTGGTGCAGAGGAGACGAGGTGTGGGGGGACTGCGGGAGGGAGGAGAATCCGGAGGGGGGAGGGGCTAGAGGTCTGAGAAAAACTTCGCTGGCCAATTCTACGCCCCCCTGCTGGAGGAGGAGGTGTCTGCTTGATGGCAGCTTTTGGGGCGAGAGGTTACCCACGGCAACCGGCTGGTGGGCGGTGACAGCCTCTGGAGAGACACGCCCAGAGAGGCGGAGTTGCTGCTGACGCTGCTCATGCTTCACCTGCTCCAACTTCTGAGTCGCCTCCATCTTTGCCAGCTGCTTACTCTTCTGACGCATTTGCTGGGGGAGGGGAGGGGGCAGTGACATCATCAGCTGAGGGTATTTTATGGTAAACGTCCTCTAACCCTAAACCTATCAGAGGAATTCAGTCACGTGCAAACCCTAACCCTAACCCTCCAGAAACGTCTTCCCCATTGGATCACATGATCTAACTGCGTGGTTACGTGGGCACTGGCCGACATCTAAGAGGATCTTATTGTAAGCTAACCGTTACGGTTAGCTTGTAGCGCCTGGAGCGGCGGAGCGCGGCTGGCGGGAGTGAAGCCAACCGAGCTGAAGCATCAACGCTTCAGCACAGCTGATGTGCTGCGTTACGACGATGTCAGATGGCGGTCTCATCGCGTCCGGAACGCGAGCGTCCTACCGGCTTACCTCGGCTGACTCGTTTACAAGCAGGATGTAATCAGATTACTACTGCACTATCTGGGTGCTTCAGCTCCATTAGAACCGGTTCGTCTGCAGCCAGACCAACAAGCAGAAAACACGCGTAAACGCACTGAACGATCATGTGATCCAACACTGATCATGTGATGACACGACGCTGTTGACAGGAAAAACAAAGGTAACTCGAGTTCGTGCCTGCAGAAGCCAAACACGGATCACCTGTCTTAGTTTCCACTCCTGCTCCTGTTCAGACTCTCTGGGTCTCAATGGGTCCTTGAAAGCCATCTCCATCTCCATGGAAACCTGCTCATAGGGACCCAGCGGCTGTGGTGGCTGTGGCGGCGGCTGCAGGTGTTTCAGCGAGTCATTGGACATTTGCACCTTGTTAATGCGCTGGGCGGCGCGGTTGTCCCGAGCTTTTTGCTGCACACAGAAAACAGGAAGTGACTGTAATCAGACAGAAGTTCTCAGAACAGCCGGCTGTTGCTAACATCCCTACAGAATAGTTCCAGGTTTCCGTGTTCGTAACAAATCACCAGAGCACAGCGATGGAGTTCCTCAGGGTTCAGAGTTCGGTCTAGTACTTCCACTGAAACCATTATCCCAGAAACATTTCTGCTATGCTGTTTCCACATATGAACACATGAAGGGAGCTCAAAGGCCTGTTCCAGGATGACCTAGGTGGGTGTGGTTAAATCTGGCAGCCTTCCAGCAGCCTGGTTCGCTCTTGTCCCACTACTATGCTGTCCCTTCTTCCTTGTGATCGAAGCGCCGACAGACTGGCATGAAGACGGTCAGCTGTTGACTGGCTAAGAGGTGGAGTCGCTGGTAGCTGCGGAGCTGCAGCCATTTACCGGTTCAGTCTGACAAAAAGCCATAAAACTGAGCAGAATGTCCAACATCAGCACCATTTTAGTCTGTTGTTTCCGTGCAGCATACAGGCCATCTCACGCTTTTGTTAAGGATCTAACAGGAACGTCCACTACTCCGAGCTTAGCCAGGCTAACCCACGCTATAACGAGCTGTGCTGCTGGAAAAACCCTGTTAGCATCCAGGAGTAGGGCAGGTATAGCACAGGTGGGAAACACCTGCTGGATTATACGAAAAGACTTAAACCCACCACATAAGGCGCTCTGTCCTGAGAGCTGGCCTTCCTCCACAGTTTGGCAATCTGCTTCACCCGCGCGGACCAGTCTGAGAGAGAGAGAGAGAGAGAGAGAGAGACGGGGGAGAGAGAGAGCGATAGAGAGAGAGACGGGGGAGAGAGAGAGAGCGAGACGGGGGAGAGAGAGAGAGAGAGACGGGGGAGAGAGAGAGCGATAGAGAGAGAGAGAGAGAGAGAGAGAGAGAGAGAAACACAAAATCAATCACATGAAAGAAAATCTGCATCAAGGTTCTGCTGAAGTGTTTCATTCAAACCAATCAGATTTTGAGATATTAGTGTGTGCGTGTGCGTGCGTGTGTGTGTGTGTGCGTGTGTGTGTGTGTACCAGGGTACTGCTGCCTCAGCTGGGGGAAGTTGGTGTTGCAGTAAAGAACCGGAGCGACAGTAGCCAGCTCTCCCAGACTCTCCTCCTTCTCCCACTTCAACATGCTCCTCTGAGCTGTCGACAGTGCATCCTGCTCCACGTCTGCTGCTGCTGGCCGATTGGCTGTAGCTGATGTGGGGGAGGGACCTTGAGGAGGAGACACCCTGAATCCAGCTGGAGCCGAGGCTAGGATGGAAGTTGTAGGTGTGTTGGGATGGTGAGAAGCAGACATCAAACCGTTCATAAGAGGAAGGCGAGGGAATGTTGGGGTTGCTAGGAGACACAATCAGCTGATCCACTGACTACCCATGTAAGTAGAACGTGTGTGTGTGTGTTGGTGTGTGTGTGTACCAGTGGTGTGTGTCCTGTTTGGCTCTGGATCAATGTTGCCGTTTGGACTCAGAACAGAAGTGAAGACCTCCTCCACATCCTTCCCCTTTAATTCTGAAAACACACAGTTTTAGAAGCCGTTTCCTGCCGTGTGACGAGGGTCACTCCAGGTCCACCATGGAGGCATCAGCGGTGCAGAACGGCAGCGGGACGGTTCGCTCGAGTGTTTCACGGTGCCTCAGTCCACCCCAGAGGAGACGCAGCCATGGAGCAGCTCCTCTAGGGTTGTCCTCCATGAACTCGCACAACCACAACATCCCTCGAGACTTCTAAGGTCCCGGCTGGTTTAGGCCACATCCAATAACCAAGGAGGAGGAGGAGGAGGGAGTGAACAAGCATAGATCTACACCTACACAGATACGAAACCGCTGGAACGGTGCTGGGAGTAAACAAGCATAGATCTACACGTACATAGATACGAAACCGCTGGAACGGTGCTGGGAGTAAACAAGCATAGATCTACACGTACATAGATACGAAACCGCTGGAACGGTGCTGGGAGTAAACAAGCATAGATCTACACGTACATAGATACGAAACCGCTGGAACGATGCTGGGTGTAAACAGGCATAGATCTACACGTATATAGATATGAAACCGCTGGAACGATGCTGGGAGTAAACAGGCATAGATCTACACGTACATAGATACGAAACCGCTGGAACGATGCTGGGTGTAAACAGGCATAGATCTACACGTATATAGATAAGACACCATTGGAACGATGCTGGGTGTAAACAAGCATAGATCTACACGTACATAGATACGAAACCGCTGGAACGGTGCTGGGAGTAAACAAGCATAGATCTACACGTACATAGATAAGACACCATTGGAACGATGCTGGGTGTAAACAAGCATAGATCTACACGTACATAGATACGAAACCGCTGGAACGATGCTGGGTGTAAACAGGCATAGATCTACACGTATATAGATACGAAACCGCTGGAACGATGCTGGGAGTAAACAGGCATAGATCTACACGTACATAGATACGAAACCGCTGGAACGATGCTGGGAGTAAACAAGCATAGATCTACACGTACATAGATACGAAACCGCTGGAACGATGCTGGGAGTAAACAAGCATAGATCTACACGTACATAGATAAGACACCATTGGAACGATGCTGGGAGTAAACAGGCATAGATCTACACGTACATAGATAAGACACCATTGGAACGATGCTGGGAGTAAACAGGCATAGATCTACACGTACATAGATACGAAACCGCTGGAACGATGCTGGGAGTAAACAAGCATAGATCTACACGTACATAGATAAGACACCATTGGAACGATGCTGGGTGTAAACAGGCATAGATCTACACGTACATAGATAAGACACCATTGGAACGATGCTGGGAGTAAACAAGCATAGATCTACACGTACATAGATACGAAACCGCTGGAACGATGCTGGGTGTAAACAAGCATAGATCTACACGTACATAGATACGAAACCGCTGGAACGATGCTGGGTGTAAACAGGCATAGATCTACACGTACATAGATACGAAACCGCTGGAACAATGCTGGGTGTAAACAGGCATAGATCTACACGTACATAGATAAGACACCATTGGAACGATGCTGGGAGTAAACAAGCATAGATCTACACGTACATAGATACGAAACCGCTGGAACGATGCTGGGTGTAAACAAGCATAGATCTACACGTACATAGATACGAAACCGCTGGAACGATGCTGGGTGTAAACAGGCATAGATCTACACGTACATAGATAAGACACCATTGGAACGATGCTGGGAGTAAACAGGCATAGATCTACACGTACATAGATACGAAACCGCTGGAACGATGCTGGGTGTAGAGCCCTGCACGGGCCTAAAATCTGAGCCCGTGTCCGGCCCGGCCCGAGGGGGTGGAGCCCCAGCCCGACCCGGCCCGAAAAGGTTTTCAGGATTCTCTGGCCCGGCCCGAGCCCAAGCCCGACTTTTTTTAACCAACTAAATGAAAACAAAGTGCGTCAATCCTGACCAATGTGTTAAAAGACGTGCAGGATCCGAGCGTCGCAGAAGCGCATGCGGGAAGCTTCCTCCCACTGAAGCGAGTGTTTTCCAAACCCGGTCACTCAGAGAGACTTGTCACTTAGAAAATGTTCCCTGATTATGAAACTTTGGCTGAATAGCGCTTGTTCCTGTCTCCAATGTGCGACACATCCAGGAGCCGTCTGAGGAGAATCCCAGAATCTCACATCCTCTTCAGCTCATGAGCGCATATGATTACGCACAAGCGTGACCCAACACGGTCTCACAGTAAGACTGGGTTGGAACTGTTCAGGTTTACGCAGACAATCTTCACATAGAATTGACTTACAGATATAAAATTAATTCAGTAAAATATAAAGCATTTTATTTAAATACCCATTCATTATTTTACAAGCACATCGGCAGATGGATGGAAGAGCCGCGGGTTGCCGATCCCTGCTCTAGTTCAAGATATCATTAAAATTCCAAAAGTGCTGAAAAGATTAAAAATGGGGCTTTCCGTGCATATACAATACATTACGGTAGCCACCGGGATTTCCTGTCTTGAGCGCAACGAATCACAACACAGATTCAGAGACGTGCGAGTTTGTCATCCAAAATACTCCGTTTTATAACTTTTGAATGGTTGATCAGATTCAAATAATTCCAACGGTTCCTAAAAGTACATAAAAGCAGCTTTCCAACGGTCTATAGCATGAAGCAATCAGAGTTAGAGAAAATATCGCTACGAGGGGAAATCCTGCAGTACAGCCTGATTGAAACGGAGCGCAGCGCTGCTGTGAAAGCGGATAACCTATAAAATGACATGTTGAGGACGCAAACTCAATACATCTCTTTTATTGTGAGGTAATAATTTCTCCGAGTTTTGCGGTTGCGGGCGGGAGTAGACATGTATGCTGCAGGTGCGGGCGGGAGTAGACACGCTGCAGGTGCGGGCGGGAGTAGACACGCTGCAGGTGCGGGCGGGAGTAGACATGCACGCTGCAGGTGCGGGCGGGAGTGTAACACACACGTTGCGGTTGCAGGCTGTAATGGTCAGAAATTCAGCGGGAGCGGAGCGGGATGAAGAAAACAGTCCCGCACAGGGCTCTACTGCTGCGTTTAAGTGTTTTAATTTTTTTAATGATTTCGAATAAAAATAAAGGCGCCCGGCCCGGCCCGTGTCCGAGGTAATTACACAGTCGTTGGCCCGAAGCCCGGCCCGAGGGCCGTCGGGCCGGGCCGACCCGAGGGCCTAGGGCTTCAGTGCAGGGCTCTAGCTGGGTGTAAACAAGCATAGATCTACACGTACATAGATACGAGACTGCTGGAATGATGCTGGGAGTAAACAAGCATAGATCTACAACTGCATAGATATGACACCGCTGGATCGATGCTGGGAGTAAACAAGCATAGATCTACACGTACATAGATACGAAACCGCTGGAACGATGCTGGGTGAAAACAAGCATAGATCTACACGTACATAGATATGAAACCGCTGGAACGATGCTGGGAGTAAACAAGCATAGATCTACACGTACATAGATACGAGACTGCTGGAATGATGCTGGGAGTAAACAAGCATAGATCTACAACTGCATAGATATGACACCGCTGGATCGATGCTGGGAGTAAACAGGCATAGATCTACACGTACATAGATATGAAACCGCTGGAACGATGCTGGGAGTAAACAAGCATAGATCTACACGTACATAGATAAGACACCATTGGAACGATGCTGGGAGTAAACAAGCATAGATCTACACGTACATAGATACGAAACCGCTGGAACGATGCTGGGTGTAAACAGGCATAGATCTACACGTACATAGATAAGACACCATTGGAACGATGCTGGGAGTAAACAAGCATAGAACTACACGTACATAGATAAGACACCATTGGAACGATGCTGGGAGTAAACAAGCATAGATCTACACGTACATAGATAAGACACCATTGGAACGATGCTGGGAGTAAACAAGCATAGATCTACACGTACATAGATATGAAACCGCTGGAACGATGCTGGGTGTAAACAGGCATAGATCTACACGTACATAGATACGAAACCGCTGGAACGATGCTGGGAGTAAACAAGCATAGATCTACACGTACATAGATAAGACACCATTGGAACGATGCTGGGAGTAAACAGGCATAGATCTACACGTACATAGATAAGACACCATTGGAACGATGCTGGGAGTAAACAAGCATAGATCTACACGTACATAGATACGAAACCGCTGGAACGATGCTGGGTGTAAACAGGCATAGATCTACACGTACATAGATAAGACACCATTGGAACGATGCTGGGAGTAAACAAGCATAGATCTACATGTACATAGATACGAAACCGCTGGAACGATGCTGGGTGTAAACAGGCATAGATCTACACGTACATAGATAAGACACCATTGGAACGATGCTGGGAGTAAACAAGCATAGATCTACACGTACATAGATACAAAACCGCTGGAACGATGCTGGGTGTAAACAGGCATAGATCTACACGTACATAGATACAAAACCGCTGGAACGATGCTGGGTGTAAACAGGCATAGATCTACACGTACATAGATACAAAACCGCTGGAACGATGCTGGGAGTAAACAAGCATAGATCTACACGTACATAGATACGAAACCGCTGGAACGATGCTGGGTGTAAACAAGCATAGATCTACACGTACATAGATACAAAACCGCTGGAACGATGCTGGGAGTAAACAAGCATAGATCTACACATACATAGATACAAAACCGCTGGAACGATGCTGGGTGTAAACAGGCATAGATCTACACGTACATAGATAAGACACCATTGGAACGATGCTGGGAGTAAACAAGCATAGATCTACACGTACATAGATACGAAACCGCTGGAACGATGCTGGGTGTAAACAGGCATAGATCTACACGTACATAGATAAGACACCATTGGAACGATGCTGGGAGTAAACAAGCATAGATCTACACGTACATAGATACGAAACCGCTGGAACGATGCTGGGTGTAAACAGGCATAGATCTACACGTACATAGATAAGACACCATTGGAACGATGCTGGGAGTAAACAAGCATAGATCTACACGTACATAGATACAAAACCGCTGGAACGATGCTGGGAGTAAACAAGCATAGATCTACACGTACATAGATACAAAACCGCTGGAACGATGCTGGGAGTAAACAAGCATAGATCTACACGTACATAGATACAAAACCGCTGGAACGATGCTGGGAGTAAACAAGTGTAGATCTACACGTACATAGATAAGACACCATTGGAACGATGCTGGGAGTAAACAAGCATAGATCTACACGTACATAGATACGAAACCGCTGGAACGATGCTGGGTGTAAACAGGCATAGATCTACACGTACATAGATAAGACACCATTGGAACGATGCTGGGAGTAAACAAGCATAGATCTACACGTACTTAGATACGAAACCGCTGGAACGATGCTGGGTGTAAACAAGCATAGATCTACACGTACATAGATACAAAACCGCTGGAACGATGCTGGGTGTAAACAGGCATAGATCTACACGTACATAGATAAGACACCATTGGAACGATGCTGGGAGTAAACAAGCATAGATCTACACGTACATAGATAAGACACCATTGAAACGATGCTGGGAGTAAACAAGCATAGATCTACACGTACATAGATACGAAACCGCTGGAACGATGCTGGGTGTAAACAGGCATAGATCTACACGTACATAGATAAGACACCATTGGAACGATGCTGGGAGTAAACAAGCATAGATCTACACGTACATAGATACGAAACCGCTGGAACGATGCTGGGAGTAAACAAGCATAGATCTACACGTACATAGATAAGACACCATTGGAACAATGCTGGGAGTAAACAAGCATAGATCTACACGTACATAGATACAAAACCGCTGGAATGATGCTGGGAGTAAACAAGCATAGATCTACACGTACATAGATACAAAACCGCTGGAACGATGCTGGGTGTAAACAGGCATAGATCTACACGTACATAGATAAGACACCATTGGAACGATGCTGGGAGTAAACAAGCATAGATCTACACGTACATAGATACGAAACCGCTGAAACGATGCTGGGTGTAAACAAGCATAGATCTACACGTACATAGATACAAAACCGCTGGAACGATGCTGGGTGTAAACAGGCATAGATCTACACGTACATAGATAAGACACCATTGGAACGATGCTGGGAGTAAACAAGCATAGATCTACACGTACATAGATAAGACACCATTGGAACGATGCTGGGAGTAAACAAGCATAGATCTACACGTACATAGATACGAAACCGCTGGAACGATGCTGGGTGTAAACAGGCATAGATCTACACGTACATAGATAAGACACCATTTGAACGATGCTGGGAGTAAACAAGCATAGATCTACACGTACATAGATACAAAACCGCTGGAACGATGCTGGGTGTAAACAAGCATAGATCTACACGTACATAGATAAGACACCATTGGAACGATGCTGGGTGTAAACAAGCATAGATCTAGACGTACATAGATACGAAACCGCTGGAACGATGCTGGGAGTAAACAAGCATAGATCTACACGTACATAGATAAGACACCATTGGAATGATGCTGGGTGTAAACAGGCATAGATCTACACGTACATAGATAAGACACCATTGGAACGATGATGGGAGTAAACAAGCATAGATCTACACGTACATAGATAAGACACCATTGGAACGATGCTGGGAGTAAACAAGTGTAGATCTACACGTACATAGATACGAGACTGCTGGAATGATGCTGGGAGTAAACAAGCATAGATCTACAACTGCATAGATATGACACCGCTGGATCGATGCTGGGAGTAAACAAGCATAGATCTACACGTACATAGATACGAAACCGCTGGAACGATGCTGGGTGTAAACAGGCATAGATCTACACGTACATAGATAAGACACCATTGGAACGATGCTGGGTGTAAACAAGCATAGATCTACACGTACATAGATAAGACACCATTGGAACGATGCTGGGAGTAAACAAGTGTAGATCTACACGTACATAGATACGAGACTGCTGGAATGATGCTGGGAGTAAACAAGCATAGATCTACAACTGCATAGATATGACACCGCTGGATCGATGCTGGGAGTAAACAAGCATAGATCTACAACTGCATAGATATGACACCGCTGGAACGTTGTTGGGAGTAAACAAGCGTTGTAGATCTACACGTACATAGATGACACCGCTGGATCGATGCTGGGAGTAAACAAGAATAGATCTACATCTACATAAATATGACACCGCTGGAACGTTGTTGGGAGTAAACAAGCGTTGTAGATCTATACCTACATAGATATGACACTGCTGGAACAATGAGGTTTTGCTCACTTCTGCTGCCAGCCCCTAGTGGAAGAGGGTGGAACTGCAATCTTAGCCACTTCCATGTTGGCTTCATGTTCATCCCAGAATTATGACGACTCGTATAGGCTGTAATGGATTCTACTGGAAGCAACAACGTTCTGCACCGCTGATGTCTCCAGGGTGGACCTGGCTTTAAGGTGAGCTAGTCCTACCTGGGATATTGTAGAGTCTGCTGAGAATGGCACCTGAAACGCAGCACCAGTCAGTAGGCTGTTTTCCAGCTCCAGAAACTCGTTTTGTTCGAGACTTACCATCAGAGACCATCTTATCCAGCTCAGGACTCAGGATCACATCCAGAGGCTCCTCCTGTGATGCCCTCTGGCTACGCCCACAACTTTCTGTACACACAGACAACAGGGAGGGGTCATCAGTCATGGCGCTAATGTCCAGCCCAGCTGGTGGAGTCTAGGGATGGGTACCGAATTCGGTACTTTTTAAGGTACCGACCGAATTCCACAGTACCGACCGAGCACCGATTCTCTTCATTTGAAACGGTGCCTCGTTTCGGTACCCGTCCTTCACAACGAGAACTTGCCAAGACAGCTGCGCATGCACAAGGGCGTTATGTCGTCGGTCGCTGCGAGCCAGTTGTAAACAGAGCAGCATGGTAGAGAGAACGCACGCTAACGCTTGGGTCCACTTCACTAAATGTGACGGGTAACTGGGTGAAGATGAAACCAGCGACAACGATCTAAGTGTGAGGCATCATCGTTTTAATCTGCTCCAGCAGCTAAATAAACTGTTTAAGATAACGTTAGCTTGATATGTTAGCTTCCATTGCCACCATTGTTATCAGCTAATGGTGCGTTCGCTTTCTCCTCGGAAATTCTAACTTCCCAGTAGGAAAAATCAAATGAAAAAGGACGGCAAAAGGAATGAAGATAACAGTAAATTTAGTTCACAGTAAAGATGTTTGCTTCAGATTAATTATCAGCTTATAAAACTACAAGGACGATGTTAAAATACAAACAGTTGTATGTTATTTATCGTGATATTTATCAAATATGGTTATATATTGAGAAAAATATATATTTAATTATAAAAGAGAATTAAAATAATAAACACTCAAAAGTATCGAAAATTGGTACCGTTGAGTACCGGTATCGATTCCTAGGTACCGGGAATTAGTACCGGATCGATTTAAATGTCAAAGGTACCCATCGCTAGAGACAGACAAAGAGAAAGAGTCAGACAGACAAGGCTGGAGACAGATGGGGACAACAGGAAGCAGGAGAAGAAGAGGGCTGTTAAATCTATTGTAGAAGAAGAACACAGGGCAGAAAGATCCTGAGGTCAACTTGAAGCGGAGAAGAAGAGGTGTAGATCAGGTTGGTTGCACAAATCAGCTGTTGGGTCAAGTAACTGGGCGGGGGAGGGGGGGTCGCGGATCCTTACCAAGCAGGGACGGGGGGTGGTGCTCTGACTGGAAATGACCTGGAATGAAACACGTACAGTCATCAAGTAGACGAGTGAGTCTCTCTCTCTCTCTCTGTGCATGTGCGTGTGTGTGTGTGTGTGTTTGTGTGTAGAAGAAAGGATTTCATGTAGCACCTCTCAAGATAAAAATCATGATTAAAAAAGAGAAAAAGGAAAAATAAAGATAAAAAATGTGAAGAAAAGGTAGTCCCAGGATGTTAAAACCTACAGAAGCTGATGCATGAAGAGAAGCGAGTGAGGAAGAGGAGGAAGAAAGAAAGGGCACACCAAACGCCGCTCTCACATCAGGGCTACTCTAATGTACACACACACACACAAGGGCCACGCAACGAGAGGTCTGCACACAAGTGTTACTGTGTGTGTGTGTGTGTATAACTGTGTGTGTGTGTATAACTGTGTGTGTGCAGCTGTAGTTTTGTTGTTACTGTAGCTAACAGCAGCCTTTGACATGGTTGACCACGACACTCTGCTGGATCGCCTGGAGTGATGGGTGGGGATCACAGGGTCGGCTCTTGAATGGCTGTTGTCATACCTCCTGGGCAGGAGTTGTGGGGGGCGATGCTGCTTCACCTTGGGAAGACTTGCGGTGGGGGGTACCACATGGTTCTATCCTGGGAACTCGTCTTTGCTCCTTATTAACTTTCTTTGGGGGCTCTCCTACGCAGACATGGTTTTAAGTTTCATCTGGATGTAATTTATTTTCCCCTGTGTCCAAGGGAGAGGGGCTCCATTTCTAGTCGCCTGGCTTGTTTGGATGATGCCAATTCCTGGGTCGTAGACATTTAACCTCCATGTGAATGAGAGCAAAACTGAGCTTATTACGCTTTTCTGCGTTCATTCCGTGTTTATCTTCGTTATCCATTTTCTTGTTGTTTCACACTGCTCAGTAAAACTTTAGTTTTCTACCCGGCCATCATGAAGGCTACAGGAACTAGCTGAAACACACTTTTTTTTTTTTTACTAAACTGACCGTATTACAGTCCTCCCTTCTAGCAAGGCGGCTGTGAGTTCTGCTCATGACTTGGATGTTCTGTCTCCCTACCAGAAGTCAGTTGTCACCAGCCTGGGGGTGAGACTCGATGCAGAACTCAAGTGTGACGGCTAACTAAAATCAAGTCCACGCCGTCTCGAGCATATTTGGAGTCTGTGCTCCATGCAGGCTCCATCATTGCTGGGCTGAGTCAGGCAGCACTGAGACGTCTACAGGTGGTTCAGAACTCTGTAGCCACATTTCTGACGGGGACGAGGAATCACTTCTGTGCTGGCTTCATTACACTGGCTTCCTGAAGGTTTTTGGACCAAATTTTAAATTCTGCGCTGTCTTTCGGTCTCTTCATGGTGGAGCCCCACCATACTTGGCAGCGCTAAGAAAACAACATTCCCCATCATGAGCACTACGCTCTGCTCAGCTGGAGTTACTAACTGTCCCACAGACTAGGACAGACCTAGAGGTGATCAAGCTTGGCTTGCTTCTCTCTGGAATGAGCTTCCACTTGACATTAGAGCTGAGGAAAATAATCTAATAATCGACGCATCAGGATGTGGACATAAACGATTCTGCATCGTAGGAGAGTACGCCATAATCGATTATAGTGGAATGTAGTTTTGTGTTTTTAACGGCGGCACCAGCATCTGTCAGAGTGTCCCCCACATCTACCACGTGGTTCCGCCTTAATGTGGTACTGCAGGGCTGAGCGCTAGAGTTGTAACCTGAGACCGAACCGGAACCGAATCAGCCCGACCGGTTCTGTTGGATTTGGGCCGTGAATTATGTTAATTGAGCGGGTTGTCACGCGGTGCGCTCCGCTCGCTCGATCAGCGACCGAGAGAGAGAGAGAGAGAGACACTGTCTGCTCACACGAGAGAGGATCGGAGGACGCTCCTCCAAACACGCATTATTATTTTCATAATTTAATTATTATTTCTCCTGGAAGCGCTCTGTCAGACGAGTGTTGTGATGTCGGGAGATCCGGTCTTGGGGAGGGGGCGGGGTCAATGAAGGCGGCTGCAGCGTGATCGTCTGTCTCTTTTATTTAGGGACACGGAGAAGTTAAAAGGAGAGAGAAATGGAAGATAGAAGTTTTTGTTCCACTTTATTCTTTTGTTTCATGATGATAAACTGATGTTAAACTCATCTTAAAGAGAAGCTGGGAGGAAGCTTTGGTTCATTTTAGGTTACAGGAGGTCTGTCTCCTAGCTGCTCCTCCAGAGACAGCATGGACATGAGGGTCACATGGTGAGGGTCACACAGGACAGGTTAGTGGAAAGGTTGGTAGTTAGCTGGTTAGTGAAGGAGATCCATCAGCTGGGTAATTTAATCCTAATCCAGCCCACAGCCTTCTGCTGGTGTTATTATCAGAAAGAATAAAACACACATCTTAAATATGATTGAAGTGTAGAATTTGTTTTGTGTTTTATTATTTTCTGCATCAAACAGAACTTGATTCATTCTCCAACATTTCAGAAATGAACCACTGGGTTCAAATAAAATAACAAACTAAGTCAAACTTTTAATTTGGTGTTATTTCTGACACCCTTCAACTGTGGCATAAACATCTGACTCTAGAGCTGCTCAGAGACATTAAACACTCACATATGAACTCATTATGGAGTTTATTATTACATGATGTGTCCTGTAGGGTTTCAGTACTCTTTTAGACTTTGTGAGTTTTTGTAAAGCGTGTTTTTCTCAGCCTGAGGCGTGGTGTTGAACCAGGAAACAGATGTTTTACTTTGTTAAATCTTCTTAAATGTTTACATGTTTTGTCCTAACCTGTTGTGGATGGAGAGCTTTTGAGGGATGGCAGCTTGTGTCACTTACGTTTTTGATTAAAAAATGAAAAGCAATTATATGACATCTTCTATTTATTGATGAAAACAAATCAATAAGAAATAATCAGGATGTCGAATCGAATTGAATCGTTGACCCAATAATTGTAATTGAATCGAATCGGGAGACAAGTGAAGATCCACACCTCTACTTGACATCAAGCTGTCACCATCACTGCAAGTCTTCAAGAGTTGCTTGAAGACTCATTTTTATCGTTTGGCTTTTCTGTGATTTGGTTTTTAGATTTGCTTTTAATCATTCTTGTTTTATCTTAGATTTTTTAACATCATCTCCTGTATGCTGCTTTTACGTCAAATGCCCTCTATCGGCGCTTAGACATTCGTGTCGGTTCGTCTCTTCTAAGGGACCAGAACTTCGTTTCACACACAAGTCAGGTTTGCGTTTTCAATTCTGAGGCGACTCTTTTTTTTTTCAGACCTTCTCCCTAGCAGTCAGACTGGGGTCGAGGTGACACGACTGATTGGCTGTCTGAAATTCTGCCTACCGCCTTCGATCTGTGAGAGGAATGAGCCAGCGGGGGGGTTCCCACATGCGTGATCCATTTTCATGCTGTTGAGTAAACGTCTGTCTGTAGTAGAGCCCTGCACGGGCCTAAAATCTGAGCCCGTGTCCGGCACCGCCCGAGGGGGTGGAGCCCCAGCCCGATCTGAGCTCTTCCATCCATCTGATGCGGCTCTCTGTGCTTGTAAAATAATGAATGGATATTTAAATAAAAAGCTTTATATTTTACTGCATTAATTTTACATCTGTATGCTAATTCTATGTAAAGATTGTCTGCGTAAACCTGAACAGGTCCAACCCGGTCTTACTGTGAGACCGGGTTGGGTCACGCTTGTGCGTAATCATATCGGCGCATTCTGAGCTGAAGAGATTCTGGGCTTCTCCTCAGACGGCTCCTGGATGTGTCGCCTCATTGGAGACGGGAACAAGCGCTATTCAGCCAAAGTTTCATAATCAGGGAACATTTTCTAAGTGACAAGTCTCTCTGAGAGACCGGGTTTGGAAAACTCTCGCTTCAGTGGGAGGAATCTTCCCGCATGCGCTCTGGTTCTGCAACGCGCTCCAAGCCCCTCTCCACATCTTCAGCTCGCTGTGCACATATGCGCTGACAGCGAGCTGCGCTGAGTGGTGTCCAGCTCAGATGTTCAGATGGAAATCTTTTCTTGAGTGATTTAGTGTTTCAATTTTTTTTCACGAATTTGATTAAAAATAAAGGCGCCCGGCCCGTGTCCGAGGTAATTACACAGTCATTGTCCCGAAGCCCGACCCGAGGGTCTAGGGCTTCAATGCAGGGCTCTAGTCTGTAGCACAGAGCTGCCATCAAGTGTGGGAACGGGAGAAGAGAGTGAGCTCTGTGTGTGTGTGCGCGCGCGCCTGTTCTCCGAATCGGAGCTCTTGCCTCGGCGAGCAGACAGCTGCTCAGGGGAGAAAGCATCGTGTGCGCGCGTGTGTGTGTGTGCGTGCGTGTGTGTGTGTGCGTGTGACACAGGATTATGAAGACACACACAGCAAATTAATAAAATAATGTGGTTCAGCTCATGGCCGCCTTGGTTACCTTATAATGGAGGACAAGGCGGACTTTCCCGCGTGCATTAAGCCCCGCCCACAGGCCCGGGGATTTCCGCATTACTGGGAAGTCCACCAGATTTATATGTGAACGCTACACCGCCGGTTCCAGACCGAACTCACGCCATCCAGCCCCACCAAGCCCAGACGCTAATGTATAAGCAGCATTTTAGTGTGTTAAGTTGAGCGCAGCGGGCTCCTGCAAAGGCAGTGGAGGCATGAATCAGAAGGACTGACTGTGTAACTGTACGTGTGAGTATACCTGTGTGTCCTGTGGCCAGAATGTGAGGGTCAGTGTTCAGGACATGTGATAGATCCACAAGAGCTTCCTCGGACACGGCTGGATGGACACACACACACACACACACACACGCACACGCGCACGCGCAGACACACACACACACACACACACACACACACACACACACTAAAGATATGAGAAATGTTCATTCAGCATGTACCTAAAGACCAGTCCTGGATTCACCTGATGGCCATCAACCACTCCAGTCCAGGTCTGGGAAACTTGTAAATGATCAGTAACTAAAGAGATAACTTGAGAACCCAGGAGAACCAAGGAAGACACAGTAGATCCCAGGAGAACCAAGTCAATGACATCAGAACCCAGTAAATGCCACTAAAGCCCAGTGGAACGCAGCAGAACCCATAATAGGTGCAGCAGAACCTAACAGTCATACATTCAAGCTGAATCAAAGCACAATGACATGAAGATGTGATAAAAAGAACAAATCAAAACTCACCTGGCTTCCTGCTGGTTGCCATGGCGCCTGCGAGCTGCTCAGACAGTAGCTTGTGGGTGGAGCCTTTGGTGCCAGACAATGCTGTTCCTGATTGGCTGCAAGCAGGTACCTCTGTCCCCACCCTTACATCCGTGTGGCGGCTGTAGTGCAGCAGATCTCGCCCAAAGAAGGCCTCCTGGGCAGGGAGAGCCAGTCAGCTCAGAGCGAGTGTGAGCGCCTGTGTGCACCTGCGTGTGTGTGAGTGTGTGTGCACCTGCGTGTGTGTGTGTGTGTGTGTGTGTGCCTGTTTGCACCTGCGTGTGTGTGTGTGTGTGTGTGTGTGTGCCTGTTTGCACCTGCGTGCGTGTGTGTGTGTGTGTGTGTGAGTGTGTGTGTGTGTGTGTGTGTGTGTGTGTGTGTGTGTGTGTGTGTGTGTGCCTGTTTGCACCTGCGTGTGTGTGTGTGTGTGTGCCTGTTTGCACCTGCGTGTGTGTGTGTGTGTGTGTGTGTGTGTGAGTGCGTGTGTGTGCGTGTGTGTGTGTGTGTGTGTGTGTGCGTGCGTGCGTGTGTGTGTGTGTGTGCCTGTTTGCACCTGCGTGTGTGTGTGTGTGTGTGTGTGTGTGAGAGTGTGTGTGTGCGTGTGTGTGAGTGCGTGTGTGTGTGTGAGTGCGTGCGTGTGTGTGTGTGTGTGTGTGTGTGTGAGTGCGTGCGTGTGTGTGTGTGTGCCTGTGTGCACCTGCGTGTGTGTGTGTGTGTGTGTGTGTGTGTGCCTGTTTGCACCTGCGTGCGTGCGTGCTTGTGTGTGAGTGTGAGTGCGTGTGTGTGAGTGCGTGTGCGCGCGCGTGTGTGTGTGTGTGTGTGTGTGTGTGTGTGTGTGTGTGTGTGTGTGTGTGTGTGTGTGTGTGTGTGTGCGTGCTACCTGCAGATATGATGGGAACACCTCCTCCAGCTTTGTTTTTTTCTTCCTGTACCTCTTCTTTCCCTTCTCCGTGACCTGGTCAGAGGGACATGTCGTCTCCATGGAAACTTCAGCATCCAGAACACCTGACAGGTACCAAGTTAGTATCTAGTCTTTGACAGCTATGAAGGGAGTAGATTTGCAGGTGACTCACCTTGATCTCGACTCAGCATCATGTCCATGGAGTCTTTCCTGCTCAGAGCAGCTTTACCTCCTCGCTGCCGCACCATGAAGCCCCCGATACCTGAAAAGGAGACAGGAGGAGTCAGAAGGAGGAGCTCTTCATGGATTGCTGGATTATTTTGGCGCTCCTCTTTCTCACCTGGCCTGTAGGGTTTTCTCTTTTTCTTCTTGTTGCCATCGGTAACCTCAGAGTACTTACTGATGTCACTGATGTGGGTGGAGTCTCGCTCTGGGCTGGAGTCAGATTTCAGGTCACAGTCCAGGTCACCTGGAGAAAATGTCATCACCTTTGTTGTCCAAGTTGTTTACAAACAATCTGATGTGTTTGTTGTGATCAGCTGAACCACAACAAGCACCGACCTCGATTCTGGTCCGGATCAGTGGGCGTTTCTGGGTCAGGAGGGGTATGCAGAACCGACACAACCTGGTTGATGATCCTCAGCTTGAGTTTGGGTTTGCACCTGCACACAGATAACAGCTGCTCAGCAGGACTTACCTGATGCCCTCACCTGGACAGAGTGGACTGGTCTTTACCTGCGGTTCCTGCGTGGTGACATCAGAGGCTTGACCAGGGACTGGAGGTGGGACAGACCGGACTCGGTGAGACAGACGCCGTCCTGAGTGTAGGTCTTTGAGTCTGTAAACAAACACAGTCAGCTGACAAAGCTGCCTTTGATCCTGGATCAGAACATAAGCAACAGGTACCGACCCAGGTCTCTGGTCCTGGATATGACCTGAGCCATGTAGGGTCCCAGACCTTCTGATCGCCCTGAAACGCACACGTACAAACATCAGAGTGCATTCTTCACAACAACAGCTGGCTGTTTCAAAGTAAAGGTCGTAATTACCACAAGAGGAGCGGCGGTGAGTTCTGCACAGAGAGCAGTCGAAGCCTTCCTCAGCAGCAAGCTCCACGTCCTCCTGAGAGGTCAGGCCCTGACACACGGCGTGAACCCACCTACAAACAGTCAGGGTGAGGATCAGCTCAGACGCCGCGCATGCACGTGCGTGCGTGTGTGTTACCTGTCACACTGCTGGCACTGCAGGATGAGCTCGTCCTGAATGTAGCGTCTCTGACACACGGGACACTGACTTAGGCTGAAGCACGGACCACACAGGCTGTAGTTATTCTGCCAATCACAGTGCACTCCAGGGGACGCGGAGCCACACTGGACACACCACACACACCTGCAAACAGATGGCATGCAGTCACAAACAGCACACACTCACACATGTGAGCATCTTCTGGACAGCTGCACCCACCAGTGGCACTTCCAGCCTCCTTTAGGCACCGTGTGGAGGGGCGGGTCCAAACAGTAGGTGTGGTAGCTGATGTCACAGTCGTCGCATAGCAACAGCCGCCCCGGGTCACTGGCATCACCACACGCTTCACACACGGTACACTCCAGGCAGCGCCACCCTTTTGTCAGGACCACACGCGTGATCTGTGTCACACACCGTAATCAGATTACCCTGACATGTTTATGATTGGGGATGGTAGTAATCAGATTACTGTCAGGACAGCCAGATAAAAGTCATCAAATTACAACAAAGATGTAACTAAATGAGATTACAAAATCATCAGGTCAGTAAATACCAACGACATATTGTGGTTATGTATAATAGCCCCAGTAAGTGTGAGAATAGGCTCCGCCCTTTAAGGCCACTGCTCCAGGATTAAAGGTGAAGCTAGGTGAGTTTACAGCTTTAACCCTCGGGTGTTACGCCCTCTCAGCTTCTCCGGGAGTCACGGCCTGAGGAAGCGTGAGCAAATGAAAAAGGCCTGAAACCGGCGGGCTGGCAGCAGACGACCTATAATCCACAAACACTCGGTGAGCGTGGGACATGGCACACACTCACGCCGGACAAGAAGATGCAACGTGGCCTCCTCATCAGGAACGTGGGGAGGAAGAAAATCCATCTGGAGAAAAGGAACCGGGCTAGAGCCGCCATCGGTCCAAACCCTAAAATAAACTCATCAACATGAGTTTTTGTGAAATGTGAACAGTTTTCTACCCCGAGGTTTGGACGGTCTCTGCTGACTCAGGATCAGAACAGGTTTATTGCCATGTTCAGTGAACAAACAGTTCACAAACTAGGAACTTGCTTCGGTACTAATGTGCTACATATAACATGAATAATAAGAATAAAATAGAATAAAACTTTCAGCTATAAAAAAGGCAGGTAGTGGTAACATGGCCGGTAACGTGACGTTGTGTCGAGTACAGAAGACCAGCATGGTAGTGTGTTTATAAGCTGTTCACAAGTCTAACGGCAGATGGAAAGAAGCTGTTCTTATGGCGAGAGGTTCTGGTCCGGATGGACCGTAACCTCCTGCCTGAGGGAAGCAGCTCAGAAAGTCTGTGTCCCGGGTGAGAAGGGTCAGCTGCTATCCGACCTGCACGCCCCCGAGTTCTGGAGACGTACAGGTCCTGGAGAGATGGAAGGCTGCAGCCAATCACCTTCTCAGCAGAGCGCACAATGCGCTGCAGTCTATGTTTGTCCCTCACCGTGGCTCCAGCGTACCACACAGCGATGGAGGAGGTGAGGATGGACTCAATGATGGCCGTGTAAAACTGCAGCATCATCTGGGCCGGCAGCTGGGCCTTTTTCAACTGCCGCAGAAAGTACATCCTCTGCTGGGCCTTTTGAGCAGGGAGCTGATGGATGGCTCCCACCTAAGGTCATGTGTGATGGTGGTTCCGAGGAAGCGGAAGGAGTCCACAGTGGTGACGGGGGTGTCCGTCAGGACGAGGGGGAGAGATGGGGCTGTGACTTTCCTGAAGTCCACAATCATCTCCACTGTCTTCTGAGCATTGAGCTCCAGGTTGTTGCTGCTGCACCAGTACACCAGCCGTTCCACCTCCCTCCTGCAGGCGGACTCATCACCGTCAGAGATGAGCCCGATGAGGGTGGTGTCGTCCGCAAACTTGATCAGTTTAACGGAGTCATGGCTCGAGGTGCAGCAGTTTGTGTACAGGGAGAAGAGCAGAGGAGAGAGTACACAGCCCTGTGGAGATCCTGTGCTAATTGTCTGAATGGTGGAAACATTCTTCCCCAGCCGCACGCACTGCCTTCGGTCTGCCTTCGGAGAGAAAAGAATTAAGATGCCTGATAAAAATGATCACAAACATTTGGGATCATCACATATTGTCAGGAATCATTTTGAGACTAGTTCACACACGGAGGCGTGTGAAAATATTCCAGAACAATCATCCCTAAAGGTTATAGCTATAAGGCTGCTTGAACACGTTAATAAACCAGTTATGAAATGATCTCATCACATCTGCTGGTGCCCAGTTTAAACCAGTAAGGGTTAGGGTTACTAACAACTCAACTCCAAAGCAGCCTCGGGAAAGCCCATAAAGGTAAATCTGACTGATTTAGAGCTGATTTTGTTCATTTGGACCAACTTGAAGCTCCAAACCGCTGAGAGAAGTTAAAGCGACAGCACTCACTCTCTGTGAGCGTCGCTCCGCCTCACCGGATGCAGCATGCCATCTCTGACTGTGATTGGTCCAATGATGACATGTGACTAACACACAAAGATTGTCTGTGAACAAGAGGAGTCCCCTCTCCTCTCTCTGATTGCCATAAGAGTGACTGAAACCCGACAGGAGACCCCCCCAAAGGTGAACGCCACATTTGGCTTCAAAAATGACGATTTTGGCCAAAAAGCCACAAGTTTGCAGGTATGAGTCATGAGCAAAACGAGGCCCAGGGCTCGGCCGGGGCTTTAGCTACACCCCCGGTAGAACCCACTGGGGAAGAGTGACATCTGTCTCCAGCCGTGATGACGGGAGGAAACGGCTTCAGCATTCGTGTTAACAGCCCCCTTCACAACTCTCTCTACCCACAAACATGCCAGTCTAGAACCGGCCCTGGTTGTGAAGAGAAGATGGGAGACGAGGGAGGGGCAGGCGGACTTATAGTGGAATGTCTTCAGCGATTGGCTAATCCAAGAATAGCTTATCCAGTAGCAGGCTCTGAAGGGCGGGGCCTGTGTGAGATAGAGCTGAGTAAGAGTACCAACCTTCACATTGACACAGTAGGGATGATAACACTGTCCACACTGGGAACAGGCCAGCAGTCGACTTTCAGCACCCTGACCAAAGCTACCACACACCACACACATGTCCTACACACACACACACACACACACACACACACACACGTGAGTGCATGAACCCCAGAGCAACAGACCTATCTGATCAGGTTGCAGGCGAGTCTACCTGTTTGAGTGTGAAGTGGTCTGACGTGGAGAACATCACCACAGTGTTGTGCATCGAGTTCTCCTCCTCCTCCTTTGACTGGAACACCTCCATGTATCCTCCCTACACACACACACACACACACGCACGCACGCACGCGCACGCACACACACACACACGCACGCACGCACGCACGCACGCACGCACGCGCGCGCGCGCGCGCGCACGCGCGCGCACGCACACACACACACACACACACACACACACACACACACACACACACACACACACACACACACACACACACACACACACACACACACACACACACACACACACACACACACACACACACACACACACACACACACACACAAAATCAGTTTCATAACCGCTTCCATTTCCAATTTAATGACAGATAGAGAGCCCTGTGTGTGTGTGTGTGTGTGTGTGTGTGTGTGTACGTACCCCAGGCGGCACAGTCAGACTGTCCTGGTTCTTCAACCGGCTCCTTCCTCTCCCTCCTCTTCCGCCTCCAACACCTCCTCCTCTGGACCTTCTTCTGCCTGGAAACCCGGATCCACGACCCTAGAGAGTAGGAGCAGGAGGAGATCAGAGCTGATGTTCCTCTGAATGAGGAGGAGATCAGAGCTGATGTTCCTCTGAATGAGGAGATCAGAGCTGATGTTCCTCTGAATGAGGAGGAGATCAGAGCTGAATCCTTGGCTGGATCTCCTGAAGCCTAAATTCTGGTAAATGTGGTCCAAACAAACCCCTGAACTCCGCGCCGACACCTGAACAGGTGTGTTTCCTCACCCTTCCTCCATGTAGAGGTGGAGACTCCTACACTGTGAACTGGCTCCACCCCTCAGTCGGGGGGGCGCTTGTTTCTGACACCATTACAGCCTGACAGAGTTAGGGAGTGCTTGTTTACCACTTTCATGTTCCAGAGGAAGGAGTCTGGTGGGCGGGGCTTAGGGCTATCAGAACCTCCCTCCCCCGTGGAATGCTGGGAGGACGAGGGAGGGCTTAGTGCTCTGCGACTGCTCCACCACGAACCCTGAGTCATCATGCAGGAGGGAAGGAGGAGGTGCAAGAACAGGAGGGAGAAAGAGGGGGGAGGAGGGAACAAAATGCAGCAACATAAATGCAACAGCCATCACACAAAGTCCTCCAAAACAAAACAAAATACACAGAAAGACTGATCCAACGATGTCATAACAGGACAAAGTTACCATGGCAACAACATGCAACTCAGCACATGCGGAGAAATCAGTTGAACAAGGAGGTAAGATAAGCACCTGCACAGGTAAACTGAAGCAAACAGCGTCATTCCTGAACATGCTGTGTGTGCGTGTGTGTGTGTGTGTCTGTGTGTGTGTGTGTGTGCGTGTGTGTGTGTGTGTGTGTGTGTCTGTGTGTGTGTGCGTGTGTGTGTGTGTGTGTGTGCCCTCATGCAGAGGGCAGTTATCGACGAACACGTGGGGAAGAGGAGGAGACTTGTTTCTCGGCCCAGTCCCATCCTCACACTCCCGCACTTCCAGGTTAGAAATCTAGACAGGCCTAGCAGGTGGGTGTGTGTGATCGGCTGAACCCACAGAGAAGCGCAGAAGCAGGCTTCGTACGGACAATGCCAACGTAACGGCGTTGCGCCTTCTCTTCTCAGGCCAGGCAGAGCTGGCCCTCATGCTTCTGATTGCACCACAGACCAGGAGAACCTACCTGTCGAACCCGAGCTCGGCCAGGGGAGAACTTCCTCTTGGAGATGGCCGGTTTGCCCATGCCAATCTTTGGGGTGAGGGGGAACACACAGGTGGGCGGAGCCTGAAACAGGACAAAAGGTCAGCAATAGGAGAGGCCTGCAGAAGGCATCACCACATCCTTCGTTTTTCTTACCTGGGACAGAGGAGGAGATTCTCTGGGTGTGGCAGGTGAGGGAGGGGTGAGAGGAGGAGGTGTAATGGGAGTTCTGGCAGGGGAGGTTTCAGGAGAGGCCTCTGTAGAAAAAGGGGACTGCCTAAGGCGGATGGAGAGGTCGTCTGAGGGGCGGGAGAAGGAGAGAGGAGGTCTGAGGCACCGCCCCTTCCCTCTGCGGCCAAAGGGAGGCGGACTGGTGGAGGTCAGCTCCAGAATGGAGGGAGGGGTCATCAGCTCCATCACCTCCTTGTCCAAGGAAGGGTCAAGGTCCAGAACAGGGCTCACAGGTGGCTCCTCCTCTTTGTCCAACTGATTCTTCACAAGTCCCACCTCCTCCTGTTTTTCTCTTATTGGCTGTTGCTCAGCAACCACATGATCAGGAGTCACCTCCTCCTGCTTCTCTGAAGGCTCAACGTGTGATTGGTGCTCATCTTCAGAGAGCAGAGTTGGAATGAAAACGGACTCAATCATGCTCTGTGACTGGCTGTTGTTCAGCTCCACCTTCTCCTCCGAGTCTGGAGGTAGGCTGGTCCCGTGAGGAGGTGTTCCTGATGAGCTGGTACAAGGAGGAGGAGGATGTGAAGAGGAACAGGAGGGTGTAAAGGGCTGATGACTGGGGGAGGCCAGCAAAGGGAGGAGAGGAGCGGTGGGCTGGACTCCTGTAGGGACACAAACCAGGATCAGTTAGAGCAGAAAGCTGCACAATGTTCGGGAACCAGCTTTAACCGGTTTCATAAGGTTTGTTAGAAAGAGGACATATGACTAGTTTTCTAAGTTCTATGGCTCAAACCGCACCAAATCCCTCTCAGAAGAAGCATGTTTGTTCCTGACAGTTTCAGCACCTGCCAGAATGAGCCATTTCAGGGCTCTTGTCACTTTTAGACAGTGGTTCTCAATCCTGGTCCTTCAGGGCCGGTATTCAGCATGGTTTAGTCGTTTCTCTGCAACAACACACCTGAGCAGCGGCTCAACAGGCTCTACAGAAGCCTGTTAATGACCTGCTGATTGAAATCAGATGTGTTGAACAGGGTTAAACCTAAAACACGCTGGACACCAGCCCGCCAGGACCAGGATTGAGAACCACTACTTTATAGCTGGCCATGCCCACCACTCCCCTGAGCGGGTGCTATGAGGTGAGAAGCTCTGATATCCAGATATCCAGCACATGATTGATGGTTTTCCCTGTTTGTGACATCACAATAAAGGACTTTTAAAAACGGCTCGTTTTGGCCAAATAATTCCTTAAACCAAACTCCGAAACAAAACAGATGAACAGATTTTGTTATCACGTTTGGAGTGTTTCTAGAGGCAGCAGAGACCAGAATGGTGGCACAGAAGGACTTTTTCATAATGTGTCTTCAAAAGCGTGATGCAACTGTGCTGAACTGTTACAGGTGAACCATGCTCACCTGAAGGAGAATAGACCAGAACCAGCTGGTCCTCCTCCTCATCTCCTGAACTCTCTAGTGCCCCTTGATGAGGTTCTCTTCTCGTTTTCTCCTCTTCAGTGCTCCTCTGCTCGTCAAATACATGGACCTCTGTAAGAACAATAAGAATGTATGAACTCCCACCCGTCTGAAGCTACCATCAGCTCTGGACTCGTCCACAATACTCACCCCCAGTAACTGCTCTCTCCATCTGCCTTCCTGTCTGCTGACTAGGTCTAGAACCGGGCTGAGCTGGGCTGGTGGGAACGGGACTAACCTCACAGGAAATGGAAGAAGCACCACCAATACCAGGACCAGAATCTAACTGTTTAGGACTAACAGGACCAAAATCAAGACTAGGACTGAGATTTGCAAGATTGGGGCTAGGTTGAGGCTGCATGGGATTAACAGGAAGGGGGCTAGGCTTATGTTGAGAAGGACTCACGGGGCCCGAATCAACACAAGGACTACGTTCTGGCTGTAAACCACTAACAGATGCAGGACCAGGACTAAAATGATCAGGTTCGGTATTAGGACTAGGCTGTGGCTGTATGGAACTGAATGGAGCCTGCCCTACAGAGTCCACAGAGCCACTAGTAGGACTTGCACCTGAGATACTGTATGTAGTGCTGGTGTGAATACTAGACAAGACTCTCTGAAGAGGGCTAAGTTGTGACTGAGTGGAGCAGAAGGGACTGGCAGGTGAAGTGGGGCTGGCATAGCCAAGTGTAGTCTGAGCAAGGCATTCTGGTCTTTGGTGTGATGGACTGAGTGATCCATCTATTTCTGGACCAGCTGAGATGAGACAAACAGCAGATGTGGGTAGAGTTTGCATTTGGCTGACATGGGGACCAGGCTCTGAAGGTTTAAAAATGCTAGTATCCAAGTGAGCTACAATATCAGAGCATTGGCTAGTTGGACTGGCCACAAGGACCACATCTGGATTCAAAGAGGGGTTCCAATCTTCTCCAGTAAGGCCAGTATTGGTTTTAGTGCTGTGAGCAGGTGGATGGGGTTTTCTAGTTGGGCTGAACTGCAAATCAAAACCCTGAGCTGGACTATGAGGGGGTCTAACTTGAGTGACAGGGCTGGGAGAACGTGCATGAACCACATCAACAGGACTAGCTTGACCAGCAGGACTAGACCTCGGTGGACTGTGACTGGCAAAGGCAGAACTCATCTGGCTTTCACCATTTGAGAGGATTTGGCTCAGATTGTGGGAAACAAAAGTACTAGCTGGACCTGCATGGGTTGGGGAAAAGTGTAGAGGGCCAGAGGAAGGACTGCAGAAACTTTGGACATGTGTGGAACTAACCACAGCCTGTGACAAACTAAGAGCAGGGTAACTGATGGCCCCTGCATAGACTGGACTGTTAGGGTGAACCTTCATAGTTTCATCCTGTGAGGGAAACGCCTGAGCAGGTTGAGCCAGGTCTGATTCTGGTCTGTTGGGACTGGACGGCTCTGTAGAGTAATCAGATTGGGTTGGAGGGATGGCCTGTGTTGGTTTGGGGTTCTCACAAGCCCCGAGACAAAAGGCAGTTTCTGAAAGTGTTGGCTCAGCTTGCATCTCATCCACTAATTCAAAAGCTTTTGCAGAACCTGATGGACTGCCATGAGGACTTTGATGTACTTCAGTGTCCTGAACACAAGGAGAGACATTTAGACTACTGTGTTCCATTGAAGTGCTGCTGTGATCAAGGCTTTCTGGTGTCAGGTGAGCAGGGACGAGGGGGGGGCTGGGATGGTCAGAGCCACTCTCTGTAAGGGGCACCACTGACTGGTCAGAGGTAATGCTGAGAATTGGGGGTTTATGTTCTAGTGTTTGTTCAAATGAGTGAGAAATTGGCTCAGTGGTGGCCACTGAAAGCCCAACCCCCTCATCACACAGCTGCTGCACCGGGCTGCCAGGCTGGGAACGACTTCTCAGACTAGCTCTGGAGGGGGGAGGGGATGGGCTACACGGAGCTGAACTGGACTTTGGTGGTGTTGTGGTACAGCTACATTTGGCATGTGGGCCATCCAAGTCTATTGTGGAGGGTTCTTGTGCAGGGTCGGATCCATTGATCTCGAGGGCCAGCTTTGGTTCTGTCCTCGGTGTGGAACTATTAGAAGATGTTTCAACCTGTGAAGGGTTATGTGGATTACTACTGTGATGATGTGGCTGTGAGAGGAAGATGCTTGTGGGACCACATGACCTGCTCAGCTGACTATTGCCACATTCTGCAAGCCCTGGTTTAACATTGGTAGGACTAAGCCCTGTCTGAGAGACACTCTGTGGTGGTGAGTCTTGTGCAGAATGTAAAAGAGGGAACAATACAGTCATGGCATGCACTGGACTTCGTTCATTCTCTGTGGGGTTCTGTCTAGAACCAGAAGAGCTGAGCTGACAAGGGCTTGACTGGATTTGTGCAGAAGTCTTATGGGTAGGACTTTGGTTTAGCTGAGCAGGAGACGGGGAGGACATCTGACCCAACTTAAATTCTGTTAAATCAGGTTGAATCCATGTAGATCTTTCTTGACTGAGTAGAAACGACGGGCATCTTTTTTGGTCCTCTGAAAAATTGGGGTGGGGTGGTGATAAAAGTTCTTTCAGCTTAGTAGGATCAGTCCGAGAAACAGAGGAGCTTGATCCAATCATTTGACCTGGGTAAGACGGTGAGGAACTAACCTTGTGCTCTACAGCAGTAGGGTTAGAGGGGTTTATACTTTCTAGACATTTTAGGCTCTGTCTTTCTGGTTCAGCACAAGAAAGAAAAGTAATCTGGTCGATCTCTTCGGGAGATGGAGATGGGATTTCTTGGATATTTGTGAGATATGGGTCGGGGCTCATTTCAACACATTTAGAAGAAGGATCTTGTTGAACATTGTTGGTAGATGGAACAGAACACTGTGCATAATTTTGTTGGATCACATGTAAAGATGTAAAACAATTTTGAGTAATTTCTGCTGATTGAGCAGGGTTTTGAGGTGACTGTTGTATAGTTGGATGGATTTCCTCTGGAGATAGCTCTGGTTGAAAATTACTGGGAGATAGCACAACATGTTGATGAGGAGATGCTTGAGTTTGTAGACACTTTATGGGAACTTCCAAAGAAGAACTCTCATGTGTTTCTTCAACAAAAGAGGTGGGACTTTGTTGGACCCCATCAGAAGAGAGTGCAATACTTTTATGTGTCTTGGTTCCAAATGGGAAAGAGCTCTGATAGGTTTCCAACTTAGGACTTGTATTGTTGTCCACTGAAAATATTGTGGGAACACCTTGTACCAGTTTTGGAGATGCGTCTAGATTTTGATAAGTTTTCTCTGATGACTGATTTTGATGCATCTCATTTTGAGAGGGTGCTAAACTTGAATAAGTGTCCTTTGGAAAAGGTGCCTGTGGACATAATTTGGTAACTTGGCACTGATAAGGAGATGGGTCCAGATTTTGATGAGTTTCCTTTAGAAATAGTATTGGATTATGATGGGTCTCTTTTAGAAATGAACTTTGATGGGATTTTTGCAGTGATACTGGTGGACATTGATGGGTCTCTTTCGGAAACGATGTTGGACTTTTATGGGAGTCTTGCAATGATGCTACAGGGACTTTACGTTTCTCTTTTGGAGATGATGTTGGACTTTGATGCATCTCTTTTGGAGATGACGTTGGACTCTGATGCATCTCTTTTGGAGAGGACGTTGGACTCTGATGCATCTCTTTTGGAGAGGACGTTGGACTCTGATGCATCTCTTTTGGAGAGGACGTTGGACTCTGATGCATCTCTTTTGGAGAGGACGTTGGATTCTGATGCATCTCTTTTGGAGAGGACGTTGGACTCTGATGCATCTCTTTTGGAGAGGACGTTGGACTCTGATGCATCTCTTTTGGAGAGGACGTTGGACTCTGATGCATCTTTTTTGGAGAGGACGTTGGACTCTGATGCATCTCTTTTGGAGATGAAGTTGGACTCTGATGCATCTCTTTTGGAAAGGACGTTGGACTCTGATGCATCTCTTTTTGAGAGGATGTTGGACTCTGATGCATCTCTTCTGGAGATGTTAGACACAGATTTGTCTCTTTTGGAGACGACAGATTTTGATGCATCTTTTTTGGTGACGAAGCTGGACTTTGATGGCTGTCTTGAAGTGACGCTGCTGGACTTTTATATGTCTCTTTTGGAGATGACAGACTTTGATGCATCTCTTTTGGAGAGGATGTTGGACTCTGATGCATCTCTTTTGGAGAGGACGTTGGACTCTGATGCATCTCTTCTGGAGATGTTAGACACAGATTTGTCTCTTTTGGAGACGACAGATTTTGATGCATCTTTTTTGGTGACGAAGCTGGACTTTGATGGCTGTCTTGAAGTGACGCTGCTGGACTTTTATATGTCTCTTTTGGAGATGACAGACTTTGATGCATCTCTTTTGGCAATGATGTACGACTGTGATGGGTCTCTTTCGGAGACAATGTTGGACTTTGATGGATGTCTTGAAGTGACGCTGCTGGACTTTTATATGTCTCCTTTGGAGATGACATTAGACTTTGATGAATCTCTTTTGGAGATGATGTTAGACTCTGATTCAACTCTTTTAGAGACAACAAATTTTGATGCATCACTTTTGGTGATGATGCTGGACTTTTATAGGTCTCTTTTGGAGATGACAAATTTTGATGAATCTCTTTTGGGGGCAATGTTGGACTCTGATGTGTCTTTTTTGGAGATGACTGAGTGTGAAGCATTTCTTTTGGAGATATTAGACTGTGATGGATCTCTTTTGGAGACAATATTAGACTCTGAATCACTTTTGGAGGTGACATTGGACTTTCATGCATCTCTTTTGGAGACATTGTTTGACTCTGATGGGTCTCTTTTGGAGGTGACATTGGACTTTGATACATCTCTTTCGGAGAAAATGTTAGACTCTGATATCTCTCTTTAGGAGGTGACATAGAAATTCGATGCATCTCTTTCAGAGACAATGTTAGACTCTGATAGGTCTCTTTTGGAGGTGACATTGGAATTTGATGTGTCACTGTTGGAGACAATGTTAGACTCTGATGGGGCTCTTTAGGAGATACTGCTGGACTTTGATATGTCTCTTTTGCTGACAATATTAGACTCTGATGAGTATCTTTTGGAGGTGACATTGGAATTTGATGTGTCACTGTTGGAGACAATGTTAGACTCTGATGGGGCTCTTTGGGAGATACTGCTGGACTTTGATATGTCTCGTTTGGAGACAATATTAGACTCTGACGAGTCACTTTTGAAGGTGACATTGGACTTTCATGCATCTCTTTCGGAGACAATGTTAGAGTCTGATGGGTCTCTTTTGGAGGCGACAATGGACTCTGATGGCTCACTATTGGAGACAATGTCAGACTCTGATAGGTCTCTTTTGGAGGTGACATCGCACTCTGATGGCTCACTGTTGGAGACAATGTCAGACTCTGATGGGTCTCTTTTGGAGGTGACATCGGACTCTGATGGCTCACTGTTGGAGACAATGTCAGACTCTGATGGGTCTCTTTTGGAGGTGACATTGGACTTTGATACATCTCTTTCGGAGACAATGTTAGACTCTGATAGGTCTCTTTTGGAGGTGACATCGGACTTTGATGTGTCACTGTTGGAGACAATGTCAGACTCTGATGGGTCTCTTTTGGAGGTGACATCGGACTTTGATGTGTCACTGTTGGAGACAATGTAAGACTCTGATGGGTCTCTTTTGGAGGTGACATCTGAATTTGATGGGTCTCTGTTGGAGACAATGTTAGACTCTGATTGATCTCTTTTGCAAATAATGTTGGACTTAGATGAATCTTTTGCAATGCCGTAGGACTTTCATGTGCTTCTTGCAGTAATGTTGCTTGACTGTGATGTGTCTCTTGCAGTGAAACTTGTAGACGTTGATGGGTTTTTTGCAATGATGTAGCCAGATTTGTATGGAGCTCTTTTGAAGGTGGTACTGAACTTTTGTGGGTCTTCTCTGTAAATAACGTCAAACTTTGAGAAATTTCCTGAGAAGATAAAGAACCATCTTTCATCTCCTCTGGAAAGAAAGCAAGTGATTGACAGATCACTTTAGGAGATGGTACACATGAGTGTTCACGTTTTGCAGAAATTGGGGAAAAATTTTGATGGGTCTCTTTTGGAGATGGTGCACAGCATTGATTAACCTCTTCAGGAGAGGATACTGAGCTTTTTTCATGTTTTAAAGAGGATGGTGCAGAACTATTATCAATGTCTTTCAGCAACAGCACTGAGCTATCTTGTACAACAGAGGGAGATTGTCGAGGACCGAGTATGTCTTCAGGTGACTGTCCAAGGTTGTACTGCCTCTGTTTGGATGAAGGACTGCTTTGATGGTCTGTAAAAGATGATTTAGGGCCACCTTGAAGCTCTGAAAGATCAGGCTGAGGAAGTGTATGAATCTGAATTGAAGGAGCACAGATGGTCTCGACTAAAGTCTGTGGCAGGTCTGAAGTGATTAACCGGACAGTTCTATGAGGGGAAGGACTGCTTGTTGGAGCCTCCATTAAATTTTGTGACAGGGGAATTTTAGTGGGTAGGACTGAGGGTAGGCCTGGGCTAGTACTGTTTGAAATTAGCTCTAACTCCTGAGGCCGGCAGGAAGAGCAGACATAACTCTCAGACCCCGCCCTGCCTTTCCCAATCTGGTTTGAGCACTCTGCATGGATTGACCTGAAAGAAAATACAGGAAACAAACATATGTAATACACATTTACATGTGATGATATATATATATCACATGTATCACTGTTTTAGTTATGGGGCAGAACAGCTGACTTAGCACAGTTAGACTAGAATAATAGAATTTCTGACCTTTACCTCACACTCCCACTATGCTTGTAACTAACCCTGCCTGCACACACAGACCTATTAAATAATACAAAAAAATCCCATCAGATATGCTTTTATATTTTATTTAATTAGAACAAAAACAATCAGTAAGAATATATGAAACAAAAATATTTGAATTAAATAAATAATCCTGTAAACTGAAGCCAATAACTATTGTACAAATTCCACTGTAACAGGGTAGATGCAGGGACCTCAAAGTTAAATTTGAGACATTTTCAAGAAATTTTAAGAACTTCTAAAATAAAATAAGTAATTTTTTGCAACAAACAACTATTAAACACTAAAATAGTATTTGTAAATACTACATTGCGTCATTTTCCACTTCACTAATTGATGGGATATGCCACATCTCAGACAGCAAGGTAATGGTACGTGACGTGGTCCTGAAACACAAGCAAACTGCTGGCACTGAAAAACAAATATTTTATTTTATTAGTTTACATGCGACCAGTTTCCTCCAGAGTGGTTAGATTTTCTACCACTTTGGAGTTGCTCCCACTGAGAGGCAAAGAGCAGGGGCGGACATAATTCTTGTCCCCCATCATAGTGCCTGTAAATTGGGGTTTACGCCGGTGAATGAAAGGGTAGCTCCCCTCTGCCTTTGTGTGGGGGAATGGGTCCTAGCTAGGGCTGCACAATATATCGCAAATATATCGTTATCGCGATATCAGCATGCGCAATATGCACATCGCAAAGTACAGATAAATATCGCAATAAATGGTCAGCTCAAATGTTTGCTACACATAATGCATTCTGTCAATCAAACGAAAGATGTTTTTTAACACATCAAACAGAGCTCTTCACCCATTTGGCCAGTTGGGTGGGTTCACTAGGTTAGATGCCCGCCCCCGAGGTGGACGGCACTTAATTTTGATGGTTAGCAAACACCTGAGTTAGCTTTGTTCTGCTCTTTCTGCTGTTTCTGCTTTTCCCAGGATCCACTGACTGCCTTTTCTTGTTCATTCTCTTTTTCCCTTTCCTCCCATCTTTTGCTTTTCTCATTTTTAAAGGAGCATTGGGCAGAATTGTCCAAAAACAAAAAGTAAATGTTCATTCTTGTGAAGCTTATGGGTGATGAAGCATTTTAAACTAAAAAGAATGATGAAACCAGTTTATCATTCCATTTTGTTAAACAGGCTGTGTGCTTCAAAATGCAAAACATGTCGCATCCGAATTTCCCGCGCTGTTTTAAGGATGTGACGTTAATTGACGCTTCAAGCGCGTTCTCGACAAGGTTCAAACCCGGAAAAACATTTGGAAGCTTGCTAGGTGGCGGTAATGCGTCTTTCACTACTAGCCACGTTAAAACCTCAAACAGAAGAGGAAGAACCCTGGAAATGGATTCTACAACTAGCAAACGACCAAGCGCAACTCAAAGCCCACTAAAGAGTGGCACAAAGAAGAAGGTTTTATCAGCGGCATCTCGAGAGTCAAAAAGAAAATATGATAAAAGTCGGTCAGGGACCCGAATATCTATTGGTTACGCTCTGGAAGAATGGAGGCTGCTTCAACTGGATTTGGTGCCTGAAAAAGGATGCGGACATGGCGCATTTTCTAGTGAGCAGGTAAGTGTTGGTCTCCTTATTTCTGCTGTAGGTTTCAGTAACGAGTAGGTAAACATATCAGAGCTGTATCTGCACAATTTGAGAAAATAAAATTAAACTTATGGATTTAGATAATGCTGATTTAGGTAATCTAACAAATCTTTGTGCAGATGAACAAGAAACTTATCTAAGCTAACGGTGTTTAGCATATGGCTTCCTGATCAGTTTAAAAAAGCTAAAAGCAACTAAGGAGTAATCAGATCACTTCTACGTTTTGTGGACGACACGCCGCATGTGTTTGGAGATAAATGGATGCTCCGTTTATTCTGACGAGAAAAGTAAACAGAGCTTGATTTGATTATACCGCTCAGCCGGAGAGAGCTAGCGTGCGTTAGCATGTTAGCTGCGATCACGTTTCAGTTTGTATGTACCACAGACGAGAACGGACATTTTCCAAACCAAAGATGAGTCTTTAGAATTATGTCATATTTGATCTACAGTCCAACCTCTAAGCAGGACTGTTACTTCAGTAGATAATGTTATTCGTGGGGTTTGTGTAACAGAACCCCATCAGAATATATTTTCCTAGCGCTATTGCTGTGCTACATAAAAATAAATAAGTCAGCCATAACAACACGTTTGACTAAAAGTAAAGTTGTGCAGAAGTTTGTGTTTATTTTTCTAAATTTGTCCAGTTGAATGTAGGTCAGAATAAAATGTGTTTGTGAAAATGATAAATAAATTTTTTATAACTGACCTGCATTTTCATATTACTAGTTGTGCCACAGGTAAAGAAGCTTAGCCATTATTGATCTATGTAAACAGAAGGTGTAGAGTCTCAACCAACTTGTTGACATTTTTGCTTAAAAATGTGTTTTCCAGCTACCGGAAGAAGCAGGCTCCTGAAACTGCAATTCAGGGAGGTAATGTGCAGTCAACCTCAACACCCAGTAAGAGAACAGCAGCTAAAATGTCGCATCGATTATCTCCAACTGAACCTGTGTCTGAGGGGTTAGTATCTTTTCTGTAAAACAAATATTCACGCTTTTGTGCTATGATATTTCATACATTAAATTACACCTTGCATATCCACACTTGGTTCAGAACTAACATCACACCACCAAACACTTCTGACATTATCTTTACAGGGAAGATTTTCTAATGGCTGGTGTTGAGGCCTTAGCTGATGACCTAGATTTGGATCCTTTTGAAGAAAGGTAAATTTGTTCATGAGAAGTCTTGCCATATATGCAGGAAATTACTGCTGTACTATGTGAAAAAAAGATAAAAACACAATAGATAAGCAAATATATGTCATTATATATATTTATGTTGTGAAGTGTCAATTCACAGCAGATTGTTGTTATTTGCAGAAAGAATTAATGACAGATGTATTAGGCTCCACATTTATCTCTTTAGAATCAGTACCATTTCAGGTAAGTTCTAGTATTTATCTTTACGTAAAACAAATATTGTGTTGTCTGTAGTTTCAAATCCATGGATCTAGCTACGGATGCAGTCCAAATTGATGAGGACCAAGCAAACAACTTACTCAACAGTGTGTGAGTTGCAATGTCTTCTTATCTAGGGGTGGGCAATATAAACGATATAAGGTAGAAATGATATAAAATTGGGTAATTTTACGGCCCCCAGCTCGTCTAGGAGATGATGTTAAAGGGGGCGTAAAGAAAGATATGTGAATTACCGGACAAAACCAAGATTTACTCTCTTAGAGGAGTTTATTAACTAAAAAACACTGCTTTATGCAGGCTAAGACAAAATGAATACAAAACCAAAAGGACGTCCCACTGGGGAATTAACAATACTAAACAGAAGGATCATCCAATACAGGGTAAATAACAATACTATTAATAAACACAAAACGCCGGTACTAATCCGGGAAAGTAAAGGAATGAGACAAACACAAAAGGCTACACCAAAAGGGTGAGCTGAACTCTTTAACGAGTATTCTAATGGAGACAAAAACGAGCTCTGGCTACTAGGAAGTGTACCACACAGGTAATCAAAACGAAGACTTTAACGTCTGGTTTGCTAGGAGGGAAAAAGAGGAACACTCGCTTTAACACCAGGCCTCTGCTAAGCTTCCCTCCTCAAATGACAGAGGGAGCTGCCTTTTATAGGAAGCTCCCTGACTGAGAAGATTAGCGACACCTGGCTCAGCTAGAGCCAGGTGAACAGGTAGGAGCTCTGAGGCCACCTTGTGGCCACAAAACAGACAACGTCTGTAACAGGTAATGATAGTTTTTGGCTATATCGCAATACGGCGATATTGTGATAACACATGACGTCACTAAGATGTGCACCCTGCTGACAATGGGACAACAGAATGGCGGTGACTGCAAGCATGGAGTGGGCGGAGGAGGAGGCCTATATGCCTCAAGTGGCATATATTTGCCACATGAGGATATCTAAAAGCATGTCAATTTGACATCTATAAACAGATGAAAAAATATATCGCAATATATATCGTTGCTGCACATGCTTCAGATTATATCGCAATATAGATTTGAGGCCATATTTCCCAGCCCTATTCTTATCTACACTCTCTTTTTAAACTCCAAAGTCTTAAAACAATATATTAATTCTACTTTTATTTATTGTTTTCATAACAGAATAGAACTGTTATGAAAACTTTGTCAGGCTGACGAAGTTTGCAGCCGCAAACAAAACGTTGCAGGTAAATAAAACCCTTCTATGTTTTAAAAAGAACTAAAAGATGGAATTGTTGTTTTATCCTTGTTCACAGGCTGGGATCCTAAAGGGAATTTCCATCCTACTTGTGTGGCTGAATGACATCTTCAACCAATTTTGGTACATTTGCCAGAAAGCACAACATCGTGATATGTTTAATGTAAGTATTGTGACATCTTTTGGACAACAAGACAACAATGCACATTGACATAATTACCTTTCTTTTCATAATAGTGCCAGCTCTCGTGTTTCTGTTTGTGAGCGCTTCTGTCACATGTAAAGTTTTCAAATAAAACTTATTTTTTCTGTTAGGACATGTGGGTGGGTGTGCTTCACCATGTCACAGGGAAGCATGAATGGACCCGTGGCAAATGTGACCATGGACCACTTGATGCAACGACCAGTGATAAAGAGCTCATGGTACCATGATCTCCACCACACGAGGCTCTTCAACGAATCATGTTCAACAGACGCTGGGTGACGGATGTCACCAATCTGACCTTTAGGTATATTAATAACATTTTCATAAGCAAAAAAGCTAAAGTGTCAATATCAAAGCTGAAAATTTACATATAGAAATGACAATTGTGGGTGAAAAGGCAATCAAAAGTGTGATTCCTAATAATCTATAAAGTTGTGGCTTTTGTTTTTTTACAGGTCAACTTCAGAACTGGAGAGTTTCCAGAATTGCATTCTCATGTAATCTATGTAAGATCTAATGCTGCTCTCTCCATAAAGGCCCCAGCTACGTGAAGCATCAAGAGACAGGAATGACTTCTTTCATGCACACAGATTTATTAGAAATTAAGAAAAAATACTATGTACAAATGCAAATAACAGAACTTTTTTGTACATAAATAAAAATAAATATATTGCACAAACTGTTTGTTTATTTTTGGGTGAAAATGCTGTCTTCAGCTAAAGTTATTTTGAGGTATTGTGCTGTTTTGGAACTACTGTAGTTGTAGATAAACGGTTAGGATTTTTGGGTTAGGCTGCCCTCAGTCAGGAAGACGGTGTCCTGGCGTCTCTTGCCGAAACTCCAGGATATCCAGCATCACCCCTGGAAGACGGGTCACCACTCTCTCGAGAATATAATCTCTCTCCTCCTGGCTCAGGTGTTGTAAAGCTGTCTAGAAATTAAAGAGCATATGTTTACATGACTAGATTCATATCTCCAGTGAGTGATGTTTTCGTTTTTGGCATCTCTATTATTTTATTTTATTTTTTTACACAAATGGCTACAACCAACCTGCATCTCAGCTATACTGGCAGCTCTCAGCTGTGCAAGCCGGTCTCGATTCTCTTCTCTGAAAGCTGTTGGCTGCCTGCCCCGGCGCCCTGGTCCTCTTGAAGGAGCTCTGGACCTCAACCTGCTGCCCTCACCCCTTGAGCGTGTCCTTCCCCGACCCTCGGAGCGACCTTTCCTCTCCCCTTTCCTTTAGCCCCTGGTCTAAGACTTTCCCACGACACATCAAAGTCAGTGGCAGGCTCGGGCACACTCCATCTGAACTGTCTTCCATCACTGCTTCCAATATGAATTCCTGAAAATCAGTGACAGTAATGATAAGTGACTGTATTACCCTGTAGGTCTTGTTGATATTATGATTTTATTTTGATGCATTTTTGAACTAAACATTGATATTTATGTTCTTATTTACATTGTTGTGATGCCTGTCCTGTAATGAAATTGGTTTCACAAATGATGCCAGTGACTTGAAATTGGATGTTCTTACATGATGTATAAACAATAACATTAGCTTGTTAGTAAGCTTAGTGCAAAATAATAACTGTAATTGGTCTAAAAACATCAGAAATCACCTGCAGCCACAAAGCCTTATGCTGATAAAGTAGCATCAAGTTACTGTCTTGCTAACCAGTCACAAAACTGGCTTATGAATATTTCATAGGAAGGAGCACTTGCTTTACATCACGAGTGTCATGGCTAAATTGAAATGCTAATGTTGTCATGGAACTTTACAAATATTAGACTAAAGTAACAATGTTACTTACTTCATCGCTCGACACGGTGTCTTGTTCGAGCCGCGTTCTGGCCGTACATCACTGTAACTTTTTTTTTTCTCGTGAAGAGTTTGTGCGCGCTCTCGTGCCGGGCTGCAGTTACTCACAGCGCCGAGTGCGTCGCTAATGAGTTTCGTTTCTTCATCCTGCCCCATGCTCCTTTAAGAATTTTTGTCATTTTTTTTATTTTCTTTGTTTTTGATTATTTTTGTTCCTGAGTTAAGTTTTTATTTATCGCGAATAATATCGTTGTTGCAATATTAATCACTGTTATCGCATATCGCAGGTTTTCCCCAATATCTTGCAGCCCTAGTCCTGACTGTGCTCAAGAACCAAACTGCAGATAAGACAACCACTTTTGGAGTCCCTGGAGGGGGTGCTGGAGGGCGCTCCTTCTGGTGACTATCATTCTCCTGGGAGACTTCAACGCTCATGTTTGGTGACAGTGAGACCCGGAGAGGTTTGGTTGGGAGGAATGCCTCCCCGATCTGAATCTGAGCAGACTTCTGTGCTTGTCATGGATCGTCTATAATAAAAACCATGTTCAGGCTCTTGGCCCTGGGATACCTTAGGCTGCAGCTCAATGATCGATCTTGTTGTCGTTTCATCTGATCTGCGGCCGTATGTCTTGGACACGGGTGAAGAGAGGGGCGGAGCTTTCAACTGACCACTATCCGATGGGGAGTTGGCTTGGGGGAGTATGCCTATCAGACCTGGCAAACCCAAACGTGTTGTGAGGGTCTGCTGGTAACATCTGGCAGAGTCTCCTGTCAGAAAGAGCTTCAATTCCCACCTCCGACCGATCTTTGAATGCATCCTGGGGGATGGCAACCCCTAAATTCGCTGGTGGACACCAGTGGTTAGGGATGCTGTCAAGCTGAAGAAAGAGTTCTATCGGGTGTTTTTGGCCGGTGGGACTCTCGAAGCAGCCTCCAGGAGTCCAATGGATTATAGACCAATATCTAACCTTCCATTTTTATCCAAAGTCCTGGAGAAAATAGTGGCCATCCAAGTATGTCAGCATTTAAACACTAATGCTCTGTTTGAGGAATTTCAGTCTGGTTTTAGAGAGTATCACAGCACTGAAACTGCATTAGTGAGAGTTACAAATGATATTCTCATGGCCTCAGATAAGAATCTTGTGTCTGTTCTAGTCTTGTTAGATCTCAGTGCTGCCTTTGACACAGTTGATCACAATGTTCTTTTAGAAAGACTTGAACATGTTGTAGGGATCAAAGGAGCAGCGTTGGGCTGGTTTAAATCCTACCTGTCTGACAGATTTCATTTTGTAAATGTACATGACAAATCGTCCTCATACTCCAGGGTTACTTGTGGAGTACCACAGGGTTCAGTGCTTGGACCATTCTTTTTACTATATATATATATATTGTCCCCATTGGTAAAATCATTACACAGCATGGGATAAACTTGCACTGTTATGCTGACGTAACAGAATGAAATGACTGTTTTTTACCCTCTCTGACACAGAACTAGTCTGCATGAGATATGGTCTCAAAGTCTCATGCATTCGCTCTGACCTGCTTATTTTCAGCTCAACAGAAGAATGAAGAATGAACTCTTTTCTTTTAATTTATCAAAGAACTCTATTTTAATAAAGCTAATCAACCAAGTGTTAGTCAGCAAATAAGATGTGACCGATCTGTGAAATCAAAAAATTAATTATTTTATTATAATCTTATAGAATATAAAGGTACTATGACTTTAAATGTTCCAACAGGACTCATTTCACGTAGCGTTAAAAGACATGACACATTACTTTCACTGATCCAATCAGAATCTGACAGATCTGACAGAGGCGTGGTTTTGATTAGGGCTGCACAATGTATCGAAAAATTATCGTAATCGCGATAACAGGACGTGCGATAGGCCCATCGCAAAACACGGCAAAAACAGCGATAAATGTTTGGTTCAAACATTTCCATCCGTGTCATACATCAACTTTTTGTAAACCAGCTCTGTTTTTTACGCGGAAGTATTATTTGACCAATCAAATGTAGCCCTTCTGATATGCAGCCAATCAGATGGGTCCGTTCACGTAATACGCCCGCCCCCTACGTAGACCCTTTTGGAAAGCAACACCCGAACAGAGTTTGCGGCGCCGTTCCCTTGTTCATCATGCTGGCTCAGAGCAACGAACGCACTTTGTGCTGATGTTTCTGGATTCAGCGCTGCTTTCAAACGTGAACGTGAGTCCGCTCGGTGTCGTTAAGCAGCTGATAATAACCGGGCTGACTCCGACACGTGCCGGTGAACCAACCCACCATCATGTCGCTAGTGTTCCACCGGCTGGTGTCGTTAGCCCAGGCTCCGGTTAGCTTCCAGCTAAAAGGCTACAGCACTCTCCTCCCAGTCCCACCCTGCTAAAGAGGGCCTGGAAAAGTTCCCCCACACATCAAAGTGATTTTTCATTTATGAGCTTTTATAACCTTGTTAATCAGGATAGTTGATTTGCTGCTGCACATAAACTGTCAGTCAGAAGCTCTGCTAGCCGGTTAGCTTAGAGGAGCTAGTTCAATTTGTTAGCTTGTTATCAGAATCATAGTTGCAGTTTCATCATCTGAGCTGCTTTTTAAGATCTAGGTAAACTTGTTCAATTTGGGGTTAAAAACAAACGTTTTCACATATTTTCCATGTAGTTTTTTGCCAGTTCCTCTTCTGAAAGGTAGACAATTGTTTTTCTCTTTCCCTCAGAAAATCTTAATATTCTCCTAGTTTGGCCCAGCACAGTTCACTTCCCAGTTACAGCAACAGCCTTATATCATAACCACATACGTGGAGAAAATGTTCAGTAGCAATGAGAGAATTTGCTGTTGCATGTAAGTGATGTTAACTATTATTTAAATTTTAAACTATTTATTCTAAAAACCCTGGTAAGGGATGTTTTTCTGTATTTGGAGCATCAGAAAAAGTTTTATGGTGGAGGTGATGTTTTAAAGTCACTGAGAAACTGCATGCATGCAGTTTGTTGTTTTGCTGCTAATACAGTAGCAGGTGCAGCTGCTAATACAGTAGCAGGTGCAGCTGCTAATACAGTAGCGGGTGCAGCTGCTAATACAGTAGCGGGTGCAGCTGCTAATACTGTAGCGGGTGCAGCTGCTAATACTGTAGCGGGTGCAGCTGCTAATACAGTAGCGGGTGCAGCTGCTAATACAGTAGCAGGTGCAGCTGCTAATACAGTAGCGGGTGCAGCTGCTAATACAGTAGCGGGTGCAGCTGCTAATACAGTAGCGGGTGCAGCTGCTAATACAGTAGCGGGTGCAGCTGCTAATACAGTAGCGGGTGCAGCTGCTAATACAGTAGCGGGTGCAGCTGCTAATACAGTAGCGGGTTCAGCTGCTAATACAGTAGCGGGTGCAGCTGCTAATACAGTAGCGGGTGCAGCTGCTAATACAGTAGCGGGTGCAGCTGCTAATACAGTAGCGGGTGCAGCTGCTAATACAGTAGCGGGTGCAGCTGCTAATGCAGTAGCGGGTGCAGCTGCTAATACAGTAGCGGGTGCAGCTGCTAATGCAGTAGCGGGTGCAGCTGCTAATGCAGTAGCGGGTGCAGCTGCTAATGCAGTAGCGGGTGCAGCTGCTAATGCAGTAGCGGGTGCAGCTGCTAATACAGTAGCGGGTGCAGCTGCTAATACAGTAGCGGGTACAGCTGCTAATGCAGTAGCGGGTGCAGCTGCTAATACAGTAGCGGGTGCAGCTGCTAATACAGTAGCGGGTGCAGCTGCTAATGCAGTAGCGGGTGCAGCTGCTAATACAGTAGCGGGTGCAGCTGCTAATACAGTAGCAGGTGCAGCTGCTAATACAGTAGCGGGTGCAGCTGCTAATACAGTAGCAGGTGCAGCTGCTAATACAGTAGCGGGTGCAGCTGTTAATACAGTAGCGGGTGCAGCTGCTA